AAACTTCAAAAGCCATTATGATTTGAAATATCAAAAAAAAATCATTCGTTAAAGTAAACAATTACAATATTAATTTACTAAATGCGCACACCGAAGTAATTCCTTTGGAAACATTCCGAACGAAGATAACGAAAAAACCGATGGATTCGCCCATAAATATACGACTAACTGAACATGCACCGGGGCATTATTTAAAGTGATATGTATTTGATACTTGATGTTTTGTCAGCTGCGTATTTAATTTTATTATAATATACCATTTTGTTTTCTCTTCGCAGGTGTATTACAGAAAATAGTATAGTTTGAATAACAGTTAATTATGTTTCACTCAGTATTTCAAAATACTACCAACTAAACGAAATTCGTATCTCCTAGTTAACTTGTTTAAAAAATGCACTAGTGCAAAGGATCTAGAATAATATGATGTTCAACCACGACGCGTTCTGGAGGAGTAAATTACAACGGATCAGTGATCGGAACGTTCATGTTCATTTTTTTTATTTTATATTTATGAATCGCTAACCTGCACTCTGTATAAATGGGACCTTTGCAAAATGTATACGGTATATTTTAATTTATATTTAAAACCTATATTAAACATATTATAATCCATATTTATAATTAATACATATATTTTTAAAATGATGATTTGAACGCCCCAAAAATCGTTCACATTCTATTTGAAAAAAGCGAGTGGCGTTCACAAAATATAAACGTGAACGTGTGAACGCGCGTTCAAGAATGACATTCTTTCCAAACATTACAACGGACCGACGGCGAAAGTTCTTCGTATGGAAAAATCGGTTATCCACAACAGTGGCGTATCTAGGATTTTCTGAAGGGGGGGTGTTAATTATAAATATTAAATATTATATATAATACGTACAAACTAAAACTTTTATTTTAATTAATTAATGTGTATACATAATGTCTGTAATAGAGAGTAATGTATATTCGAATATTCAAAGTCGAATAGCTTCGCCGTAAATTATTCGACTACTTGACTATTCGAATATCAATATTCAGTGCTACAATACATATTATTATTAAACGTTTTGTGTTGCGCGAAAACTTAAACGTATAATTTTCGTCACGAACTGTCGCAATCGCGATAATGTTAATCTGTATATATGTAATTAGTATTGTGCATTATTTTATATTTCATATTGTATTATCGATTTACCTATGTTCCTATAATAATGTAATATATGATACGGCTCAAGGGGGGTGTCATATCCAGCAAACACCCTACTTATATACGCCACTGAACCGCAATACACCTTTAGTAATGCTTTAGCAGTTTTTCGCATCAACAGATAATAGAAAGATTTTAAATTTTTCTTGTAAGAGTTTTGATGAAAACCGATGAAAATAAATAACAATGATTCAATGAAAATACTTAATTTTTACGTATTACATAACTCCATAGGTTCAAAATCATACTAGGTTTTCTTTTTTTTTAATGAGTGATTTTCAATAAAATTAGGATATTTTCAGGATATTTTCTCGCCGATACAAATATTAAATTAAAAATTTAAAAACATTATTCATTTCAATTCAAAACAAGTTATTTAATAAGAAAGCCATCTCCTCGTGGTTTCCTCTGGAAAATGGTAAATACTACTTATTATCTACAAAATCCAAGAAAAATCAGTAATTTTCACTCTTTCGTTCGGTGCCATTCACATTTCAGTTTAATCATTATTAAAAATAAAAATTATCGAATATTAAAATATTAACTACATATGAAATATACTCGTATTACGCGTGATATAACAATAAGTTTTATACCCCTTTGGTCGTTCACCATCGCCGACCACGCGACCGGATAAAAACATGTGCATAAAAAAAAAATAATTGGCAGTGAAAAAATGACTATCCGTTTTTAGTTTCGAAAGAACTGGCAACCGTTACAGAAAACGCTATAATAGTTTATGAACGGAGGGGAGACATGTGCGAATATAGGCACGTTTTTTATACGCACGTTTCGCAGCGTTATCTTCCCGCGCATTTTATCTCGTTGATCGATGCGACAACCATAAGGCCGTTTGCACACAGTCCGATAAAATCGGACGATATTATCGGTGATTGTGTCGGATACACCAATAATACGTTATTTTAAATCAATCGTTTACACACTAGTTCCGATCCGATAAAATATCTATTTTTAATTCACCGATATCGTTGTGCATGTCGGACAAACGACCAAAATCGGACGATACTTTATCGGTCCGGTTTTAATGATTACTAAAAATAAATGGTTCGTTTGCACACTCGTCGATATTATCGGAATAATGAAATAAAATGTAGTTTTAATTCCTCGCGCATGTATCTAATAGGAACTTTCAATATTTAAGTATTTACATCAGATATTTTGTCTAGTATTAAGGTAAAAGTAAAAAAGCTCATGCGGAAATAATTAAAAAATTTTTGTTCATCATCAATTAGTTTTTGAAATAGTGTATAAAAAGCACCTTCAACATATTTTGCTGTTAAAATAGGGTGCACCCAAAAAGTCCTCTTGCGTTTTTTTGCTAATAATTCACGTTTTTGTTTAATGTGTAATACCACTAAGAGGGCGATTTTCTTTTTAGAATTCATTTTAAATTATTAAACACTAGAAATGGTAAGAAATGTCTGACAGATACAAGCCTAATAACCGTAATAATATGATTTTTATTCTTTTATCGGACCGATAATTTTGACTAATGTGCAAAATATATCCGATATTATTATCGTTACCGATTTTATCGTCCGATATTATCGGACTGTGTGCAAACAGCCTAAGCGTGCACACGGGGTAGTCAGGGTAGGTACTTGACTATTCTGTGAAACTTCCCACCCTCACCAAAATATTCAATATGATCACAATAATAAATAAACATATTATTTTCAACCACTTCGAAACATTAGTTAACATTAAAAAAATTTAAGAATACTGGAGAAATATAGTTTTTAAGTTAAATGAAGTTACGAATGCAAATTTTTTGTTAATATTAAATGATAATGTGTTATGTTTGACTACCCTGCCAGTTATGTCTGCATACGCTTATGGCGACAACGGTTACTACATGGAGCAAATGATAACTGAAATCGGGCTGGAAACGAGAAAGAATGATTGACATATATCGTTTCATCGGCAAAACGCATTTTATTATCTAAAAAAATATATATAATATATTTTTTCGTTCGCCTAAGCCTGGCAAAAACCGCCATCCGGCCGTGGAGAATTGAAGAAAACAATGCGCGCGCGTGAATCGGTTCTCAGCCACGCGTTTATATCAAGAATCGTGTTTTAAATATTATTTTAAATATTAAATATTAATATTAATTATTAGTCGAACGGACTCAATGTAATTTATTCGGTGATATTTTCTCGTAACACATTTTTTGTAATCATGCCATTGGTTGTAGAATACGCATTTTTCCCATTCGAAGATTCGTTGAATATTATCGACGTTTCTCTCGTACTTCGTGAACATGATGTGTAAACACGTATTAGCACATAACCGCATAAAAAAGTGTAGTGGATTTTGCCAAAGATTATAACTAATCTTTAATTGTTATTAAGAATTTGAGTGGTATTATCAAGCGAAAAAACCACGGTCACTGCTAGAGAACGACCACCCAGATCTCTGATATCGAGGCCACATACTTGTCGTGAGTCGTCGGACTTACAATTACCGAAGTGCACGCTGTTCGTTTCGCGCCGTCCAAGAACAGCAGTGAGGCGGGTGGGACGCTCTCGATTCGCATTTGGTCCGCTCTAGGAAAAAATCCTGGCGCCGCCACTGTTAAGTGACTGCTATTAATTTTATTGAATTTTCATTTTATTTTTTCTTTCATTATATTTTATTCTTTCAATTTTTTTTTTTTAATTTTAAAAAACGCCAGTAAGACAAATGATTGAGTGTTTAAAAAAAAAAATAGTTTGAAAATACTTTTAAAAGTATTCTTAAAACAAACATAGAAAACAGAAAATTATACAAATGATTTGTTCTAAATTACACTTTAAAAGTAACAGATAACAGTTCTAATTTATTTTTAAAAATTTTAAAAACAAAAACCTAGAACTTTCTTTGTTAGTCAGGGGGTGGTAATGAGAGTAAAAACTGTTTTTTTTTGTTAAGAAATTTACCTATATTATATATATTTTTCAAATAACGATTATGCCCAAAATAGTTAGTATACTGGTCCTACTCTTTATAATGTAAGGATTTCTTATTATTTAAAAATCTGTCCTTTATATTCAGTTTCAAATCCACTATGACTACCTATGTATAGTCACTTTTACTTGGCCATAATTATATACTAGACTTTTAAAGTATAGTCTTGAATGTTTCAATGTCTGTGATATAGACCAACGACTGTAAATTATTTATCAAGATACCCAAATAAAATTACATACTAATAATTTATATCAGAAATATAAGTTATGGTACAGAGTTCAATATAATTTAGATAAAATGAAATAGATTTAAGCTGTTAAACTTATTATCTACTCCTTTAATATACTAGAAAAAAAACTTTATTTTTTCATTAATATGTAATTTAACTTTTTAATTAATACTGAGAAAACGGAAAATAGTCATTATCATTTTAAATAAATATAATACTTAAAATATATTAGTGTCACGTAGACATAATAAAAAAGACAATTTAAATATATTATATACAATACATGTAATAAAATATAATATATCAATTTATCTTTACATTAAAAAAAATAAATATATTACATACATACATATAAATAATGAATAAATGATTATCTAACATGATCACTGAAAAAGCGGTACAAGTTATGTATCTTAGTCATTATAATTTAAAAAGAAAGGAAATTAACTTAACTTCACATTATTTGCTCTTTATTATCTTCACAGTCTTATTGAACAACTAAAAAGTTGTTTACATGGAAAAAAAAAATATATTAAATAACTTTTTTCTTCAAATTATTCATAATAATGTAAAATTTCATTATTAACATACAAGAGTAATGAGTTTACAAAATAAAAAAAGAATTTTAAACAGCAAATAATTTATCTCAAAGATGTTTTAACATAAAAGTAATTTAGGTGGTAAGTCTAAGTTTACTTATACTAAAAGTAGATATGTACAAAATTCAGCAACTAAATTTGCTTAGAGTAAGTTTTGATTTCAGTCATGTTGTTATGTATTCATAACAACATATTACTCCTGAAAATTAAATAACACCAATCAATGAAGCAAATAAAATTACAATTTATAAAATGGCAATATTAATAAGAAAATATTATTTAATAGTTATTATTGGAAGTCAAAATTATTACTTTTAAACAAACATGTTAATAATAATATGGTCATTATTGTATACATTATTAGGGATGGGTAGTGAGTGAGTTGATTCATTGTGTCATAATTCTATAACTCAACAATTCAGTGCTACCTACAGATATATATATATATACATGAAAGTGAATTGAATCATTAAACTAAATTGAAATTTTTATTTCTATTAATTTGTATTTTAGTTATTTTGGTTGGGATAAATCAGATTTTAATGGTATTAAATAATGAAAAAATAGCTAGAGTATGCATTCCTATTGTTGATGAACATAATAATATCCTTAATTAAAATGTTTTTTAAAATAATTACCAAACAAAAATGAATAAGGAGAAATTATTTTCTACTTGATGTTAATTAAATAATTATTTAAATTAATTGAACAAATATCCAATTTTTATAATATGTATTTTATACATTACATATATATATATATATATGTCAAGGGTAGCCAGTGTGAAAATTCGTAAGCCACCCAATATATTAACATGTTGACTGCTATACAGCTGCCGGAATTTTATCGTTATGAATGATGAATTTTAGGCTGCTGGCTACCGTGACTTATTATTCCTGTGAGGCCATGTAGTTGCATGTCATATATTATTTTTAATTTGTATAAATATTTTGGCACTGTAATGCTTTATACAATTATATCTTGGCATAGAGCAGAAAATTACCTTTAAATTGATATGTTATTGACAGGACTTGGAACTTATAGCAATTTTAATATATTATATATATTTAATATATTATAATATATTTATTTTAATCATTAAAATAAACGCTTAAAAAAACGCCTAACAACATCATTATGAGCACTAAAATAATCATTTAAAAAATTTAAAATTAACCAAAAATATTTATATAAAAAAAAAAAAATTAAAAAATTCTAACTAAAAAAAATCAAACAAAATAAAAATAAATCTTTACTTTTAAGACTAAGGATTTTAATGGATTTTTTTTAAAATAAAATGTGAACTGACTTTTGACACTCTCGGTTCTATTTTCAGCGTTGGAATATTTTTGCTAACCCTACAAATATACCTTGGACGATGACGAACTACGTGATAACGTAGATAAGATAAAAATTATTTTTCATTTTAATTCTATCAGAAACGACTTTGCAGTATAAAACTATAAAAACGAAAAAAACTGGTCAAATAAGTAAAAATAATCAGAAAAACTGGAAATAAGGATTTTTTTTAAAAATTGCTGAAAAAAGCAAAAAAAAAAAAGCCATTTTCAAATTTCATAATTGTACGTGTTATAACTTGACATACACTTCTATTGCACGTTACTACATTTTAAGTCAATCCATAAAAATAAGCAAATGATTTAACTCCCAAGCCCTGGTTATTAACCTTTTTACAGCGTTAAAATGTTTTTTTTTTTTTTTTGAAATATTTACCTATACTATCAATTATTATGTTAAACAGAAGCTTTTCAGGAATCCTATCGATAATAACTAATGGCATCATAATAATAAATAATAATACGGTAACTGTATGGAAGTCAATGTGTTAATAAATATGGAAGAGCTGAAATTAAAAAAAAAGATCATAATATATATATATATATATCACCATCAATTTTGAATGTAAAAGATCAAAAACATAAACACATAAAAAAAAAAAAAAAATAGCTTCAGATTAAATAACCATGCAAGTAAAATAATAACATGTATAGATTCTAAATAGTTTTATATAATAGTGAAATACCTAGTATTAAAAATGTAATAACTACAGGCAACATAATATTTTAACTTACTGTCTTAAATGCTTATTTTATGTTTATTCGGCATAAACAATAAAATGTTGATGATCAACTTCAGGTATATCAACATTAACATACTGCTGGTTTAGATCATCTTGTACCTGGTTTATTGATCGGTTTGAACTAGGTCTTGGTCGTGACATATGCCTGCTAATAAAAAATAAATAAGTATCATAATATTTATACTAACATTACTAAATATACTTTGCTTTAGCATGAGTTAAGATGTGAGATTTCAAATTAGTTGATTGGGCAAACTTTTTATTGCACGCATCAAATGGACATACATATGGTCGGTCACCTGTATGTATCCTCACATGTGTTCTAAGATTGAAGTCCAATGAAAATCGTTTACCACATCCTTCAAATGTACACTACTCAAACATTTTTAATTAGTAATTTTATAATAGCTACAGAATATTAACTTTAATTAAACTATATATAATATAAACCTGGAAAGGCTTTTCTCCAGTATGTACTAATTGATGACGTTTTAGTTTTGAGCTCTCAACAAACGCTTTACCGCATTCTGCACATACATGAACACGTGGTCCATGAGTATGCAAATGTTTTCGCATTGCTGAGTTGTCACGAAACATTTTTGAGCAGTTTTTATTAGGACAAGCAATAGTACGGTCTATTACTTCAGAACCAAAGGATTTTTTTACTTTTGACTTATGACCTGGTCTAAAAAATATAATAATATTGTATTATATATTCATTTAATTTACATAATATCAAATAAATGAAAAATGGTTACTAAACTCTAAATACCTTGCAAAGTCAGCAAGTTGTTTAGGATCACTAAGATTAATTTGGGGTATTTCTTCAGAAATAGTCTGCTCAGTCATATATTCTTCATAATCGGGGTCTGGTTCAGGTTCAGGATTACTTACATCTTCTGAAATGTATTTTACTTTATATCAAATTATTTTTTTATATTATTATGATAATTTTGAAATAAAATAACCAAAATAATAATATAATTAACTAAGTATTTAGGAAAATTGGGCAAAGTTTGAAGTAATATATTCTTCTTATTTAACCATGTCTTTATTACAATATAGGACAATTTACAGACTGCCCAATCCATAAGAACAAAAATAATATTGTTTAACAAAACAGTAAAAAATTAAAATTACATAAAATTAATAACTAAATACTTATTACGTATTTTAAACAATTATATTTTATAACATAAATATTTAGAATTGAAAGTAATATAAAATAATGTATGTACAAAAAAGGCTATATTGTTCAAAAATTAAATGTTAGTTAACGAAACTATTGATGAGCCGAAGTTGATTCCGAGTTTGAATTTTATAAATGTATTATCTAACTAGAATTCTTCAGATTCTTTATATTTTTTTTGTAGTACTTGAAAATTATAAATTTCCAAGAATTATTGTTAAAAAAATACTCAACATAGACTGAATATAGCAAGAAATAATTTTATATTTCGGAGTTCTGGTTTGGCCCAATATGACAGGGTACTTTGTGAAACATATGTTCTAATAAAAAATCACTAAAAATAATATTTGTTTACCATCATCTGTTCCAGAGGCCCACATAGTTACTGAAAATTCTCCTTCTAATGTTCTGATTTGTACTTGCTTTTGTTCCCATTTTCTTGGCCGACCAAGTGGTATTGGATCAGGTGGTGATGGAACTGTATGCATTAAAAAATGGTCTTCAGCATTTTCTTTTTTGAACCTAATGAAAATATTAAATCTATATTAGAAATAAAGGTAAATAGGTCACAAAAGGAAATAAATATTTATAACAATAGAAAGTCAACACATTTCTACATGCACACTTAAAAAAAAAATGGAGAATATTAAATAACAAAATATTGACCAATTTATGTTTAGGTAGTTAATAATAACAATAATTATTAAAAATCTATAAGAATGCTTTATGTATCACATATTAAATTAAAAGAACTCATATCGATATTTAATCAATGTAAAATACTAAAATTCATATTTAGCAAAAATATATAGTAATTATTAGAGCACGAATTTGTATGCATTTGCATATTTATTCTAGTTGATCATATGATATGCTAAGTAAGCACAAAATCTGTTTCATAACTTAACAATTTAAAAAATGAAACTTTTTTAGCTCATATTTTTGCATATTTTGACGTTTTTCTTTTTTAAGAGCTTATTTTACAATTTTAATAGCATAGGTATTTCATATTTTAGCACATAATTCAATTTTTTTGTTTTTTTTTAGACATTTTTGAAATGTATAGTATTATAATATAAGAAAAAAATATTATATTTTTATAGCTTCCATTCATATCAAAATAAATTAATAGGTATACTTGTAGGTATAAATGATTTTCCCCGATATAACCTTAGATCAATAATCGGGGAAATAAAATACGTATACCAAGATAAAATAAAATATAATTTTTTTATTTTTCATGGGTATTTTAACATTTTAGTGTATATATTTATGCATATTTAGTTTTTTAGCGCACATTTGGTTGGTTTTTAATGCATATAAATCTGGGCTATAGTAATTATAAATTTATTTTATTGCAATTCTTAAGTAGTAGACATATAAAATAGATAATATCCTTTTTTCACATGAAAATTATAATTAAATAATTGATTCAAATTGAAGAATATAGGTACTGCTTTAATTATATAATATTGAATTGAAAAATTTTCATTTTACCAGGTTATAAATTAATCAAATAATAGTTTATTATAAAACAATTAAATTATATAATCATATTTAAAGTTACATTGATTATTATCAAAATCAACAAAATAATTTGCCAAATCTTCAGTTTGTAATTATATTTTAAATTTTTAAAATAAAAATAAGTTTTAAAAATTATTAAAAAAATGAACTGTAAACTAATGTTTGATATCAAGTAAACATTACAATTAAATACTAAAACAAAATAAAAACTGATGGACCATTTTTAGTTACACTATTTAGAGTTGTATTATATATTATCATTTGTAAACATTGATTGATTTCATCGAATTGATATTACTTTAATAATATAAATAGAATTAATTGGTACAAGTGTCAAGGAACTACCCAGAATAAAGGTGATTTATGGTTGTTAATTTTTATTTTTAGTAAAAGTTCTTTCTGTAGATAGTTATATTGTACTGTACACACAACAGTCAACCGGTTTCAACGCAAACCAAATCATGTTAATATGCACAGTGATAAGACGGTCAGCCCGCCGTTGTTACCTGGACGGTCCAGGACTTTCGGGTTCTGCATACAGCTCTTGGGGTACTACGCTCTCGTATACATAGGTGAGTGGACCGTCTTCAATATCCTGATGGTGGTGATGGGCCGTTGCCTGTAGCATCATAGTATTGTTGTCGTTCTTCGTCAGCCCTTGCACCGGCGCCATGATTATCTGGCGACCGTTCTGATCCACCACGGTAGTCTCAACTATCTCACAAGGCATCTCCACAGGTATATGCTCCACCAGTTTCACATTGTCCTCATCGTCTTCCGTTTTCATGTAATCTGCCGGCGACGCCATTTTGTTTGTTATTGTTTATGGTACAAAAAAAATATGTCGCACGCACGTCCGAGCAATGTACGCGCGAGGAAAATGGCGACTGACAAGAGCGTGTGTGTGTGTGTGTGCGTGCGAGTGTGTAGGTGGTCGACGGATGGACGGACGGGTAGACGAACGACGCCATTTAATGTGAGAACAAAGTAATAATTGTCGGACAGAGAGCAGAATGTTTGACGGAGAAACCGTCTTAGAAACAGTGTAGCCAATAGAAGCGCAAAACAATCCCCTCAAGAAAAACGGTTTTTATTTTTATTATCAACGTGTCAACAACCACAACTACACTCCGTGATAGCAGATACATTGATATTGGTGATTTCAATAAAAAAAACTATCATTAAATTGAAGCACCTTTCGGAACGTTATGTTTACAAATTCTTCATGACCTCATAATTTCAGTAGTTTATTTTTTTTTTCTAATTTATTTGTAGATCAGTAAAAACAGTAACTGTGAGTGCACTGCGTATATGTCAAACGATTAATAATCAAATGGATAAACATATTTTTTATGATTCAAAAGAGAAAACAAAATCACACAATTCACTCTCCCTGCAGCTGTTATGTTCATGAATAAGCTTTATTCTCATCAATATATTTTTTTTTTCTTTACTGCCTTAAATTATAATTTTACACCTCTGTCATTATGGACGAATCAACATTTCTTATGTTACTGTCAATTTTGATGTTGGTGGCCAGTTACTTGGCAGGCAGTGTTCCATTAGCAATGCCCATGTCTGAAGTAAGTCCGTATGTATACAAGTCATCACTGTAATAATATTATGTTTTTATAGGCTAAATTGGAACTTATATCATTATTTGGGGCTGGTCTCCTAGTCGGTACTGCATTAGCTGTGATTATACCTGAAGGAATTCATTCCCTATATTCAACTATTGTACCTCATAAAAGTTTGTTTAGTTTAATTAATATATTATTGTACTAAAATATAATACTTAGTATAAAAATTTATGATTTATTATGGTTTTATTGAAAATTCTATATTTCTATTACTTCATGTAAAATAATTTAAATTTCAACTAGTGTGTAAGTTTTTAAATATATAGAAAGTTAAGGCATTTTCTGTTATTTACCATCTAATCTGTAGCTCTAGTCCCGCAAGATAAGGTTATAAGTTCAAATACCAACTACTATATAACCTAATTATAACAGAGTCAGGACTAATTTTTAGCTTCAGGTTGGTGAAATAATAAATATAATTTAATATAGAGGCAATTATATTCCAAAACAGTGGGTAAAAGATAACAGAAAATACCAGAACCATATTTTTATTATTCATACTTGACAATAACTATTTCATTTATATAATTATTACTCTTATTTCCAGCTGCTGATAATATAACAGTTGAATTAGATTTTAGTCACGTAAATTTTCATTCAATAATTGGAGTGACATTAGTATTAGGATTTACACTGATGTTATTAATTGATCAACTGTCTTCAAAATATACCAGAGGCATGTATCTTATGTCTAAAATTAAAAAAAAACTTTTTTAAATAGTTGAAAACTATAATAATTTTATTTAGATGTTGAAGCTGGATTAACCAATCGAAATTCTGGTAGCATGACTGCTACACTAGGTCTTGTAGTCCATGCAGCTGCTGATGGTATTGCTTTAGGGGCTGCTGCTGCTTCAACTCAAACTGAAGTTGAAATGATTGTTTTTATTGCAATTATGTTACACAAAGCACCAGCTGCTTTTGGTTTAGTCACTATCCTAATACATCATGGTCTTGACAAAAAAAGAATACGTAAACATCTGTTAGTATTCTCCATGGCAGCGCCAATTGGTGCTCTACTTACTTTCTTTTGCATAGGACAGGTATTTAATATACAATTAATATTATTACTTGATATAGCTAAATTGTAATTAAATATTTATAATACATTTCAGGAGAGCAAAGAAAAATTATCATCTATGAACGCTACTGGAGCTGCAATGTTATTCAGTGCAGGTACATTTTTGTACGTTGCTACAGTTCATGTACTTCCTGAGTTAATGATCAAAGCTTCTAGGGGTGGCAGTGATACTTTTAACTCTATTGAATTACTATGCTTAGTGTGTGGCACAGTGACACCATTGTTTTTGTCAGTACATCATGGTCACTAAATAATATGACCAAAATCATAAATGGATAACTATTTCTTGTTCAATTGTTCAATACTATATGATGATATATTAGTAGTTAATGAATTTTAACATTAACGAGCTTAAGAACAAGAGGTATTTTCGACAACCTATAATTTGTTAATCTCTTCATTTGTTAATCCAAAAAACTGTATAAAAGATAGAACTCAATAAAAAAATGTATACATTGAATGTATTTTTATAATTATCAATTTTTTTTTATTGATTATTTTTTACATTTTTAAGAAAAAATGTATTACTGAATAAAAAACCATTTAATCATTTGATATATTCAATAAACAATGAAAGTTGTAAAAATTCACTGGACTTACAATATTATAAGTAATTATTTTTACTTACCTAACTAATTATTAAAGTTAACTAGCATTTAAAAATTGTTTTAATTTTTTTTATTAATTCATTATTATGGTTTTTATATTAGACTTAAAAGTTTAAAATGTATTGATAAAGTTATATTTATATTTTATTTGTTTGTATATTTTTTTATTATTATGAATTAAGGCTGGGTTAAAAATGTTTTTATTTTTTTTTTATACAATTTTTTGTGAAGAAAATTATATTGTTAAATTATTAGTATAGTTTAATATTTTATAATATATTAAAAAAAAAATATTTTAATCTTCAGCTTCTAAATTGATATTGTTGCCAAATTTACCATACAAATGTGTTTTCAAATCACTCATTGTAGATGTGGTTTCTTTAATTTTTGATTCAATATCCTTCATCTCTTTTCCACTAGTTTTTTTAAATTCTTCCAAATTATTCTAGGTAAATAAAAAAATTATTTTAGTTAATAATTTTAATATTTTAATATTTAAAATTATATTATACCTGTGCTGTTTCTAAATTATAGTATACAAAATTTTCTCCAGAAAGATATGGCAGATTTGGACAATCATCTTCATCTAATAACATTAACTCTTCAGATGCATCTTCTAAGTTTTTTAATATTGCCTAAGAAAATAAACCAACATTAATTATTATTTAGATTTAACTTAATAAAATCAATAAAAATATAAATGTATATTATTAAACTAATGTTCAACTAATTAAATATAAAATTAAACAGAAGATTATTACGTATTCGTGTATTATGAATAAACAATCACTTGCATACATAAATAAGTATGATTGGCTAAAAGAAAGTTATATTTTGCACATTAAACATACTTAAATTAATTTATTAAATGTTGAACAGATTAGGTAACTTCTAGTTCATTTCTTATCGTTTTTTTCGACTATTATGCCGATAACTTAAGACTTGTCTGATTTTATCTCGCCAATTATATTCATCGTTGTCGTACTATAGTGAATATTATTATACCTACATTTTATTATTTTTTACATGAAGAAAAGTTTTTCCAAATATAAATATTTATAAACAGATAACCGTCATTTATTTACTTTTGATAACATTAAATACGCTCTAAGTATACAATGCAATAATTTTGATTTTTGAGTAATTTGATAAGTTTTGATAAATTTATATAGAATGTTGGAATAAAATATTGAAAAAAAATGTATTTTTATTAATTAAAAACAAATATTTATCATTTTTTTTTTTAAATATTTTCAAGGTCATCAACATCCAAGCCATAGTAATAATACATTAAATATGATAAAGAATCATTTGGCAACTTTACTTTAGTAATTTTGAATTTTAAGCACAACTAACCATTGATTGAATAAAGTCCTAGCAATCCACCTCCAAAATAAACAGCCTGAATAATAATCATTATGAGAAAAAAAACAAGCAAACATATAATTTTAAATTATAAAATTAGGGTTATAAAGGAAGCTAATAAATAATATTTATGTTTGTTAAATAAAACTTCTTGATCAGAAATATAAACCAATAATTTGTAATTATTATTTTATTGTTAATATCATATGCAAACAAAAAATTAGATTAACTTTCTGGTTTGAATAGAGTGTGTTCTTAAGTTAATATATTAAAATTCTATTCTAACAATAAAATATATCATTTTTCAACTTACTTCTTTAGCTTTTAATTCATCTTTATATTCCTCAACTCGAGCGTTTAGTCTGGCAAATTTATTGATTTTTTGTTGGTCTTCAAATGTAATGTGAACATCAGAATCCTATACACACATAAGAAATGGAAATGAATACAATAAAATCTAAACGCATGTGATAAAAAAAAAATATCTATACTTAACAAATTTTTGTTATAGACTAGATCAGAGGCGGCCGAACTTTTTTCGGCCACGATCTACTAAAAATATACTTCACTTTTGAAGATCGACTTCATTGGAAAATTTTTTTATAAACCAGAATAAAAGATATAAACTATACAGATAAAATGTATCAACAGTTTGTTCATAACTACCACGATTAATTTTCGTGCACGTGGCCTAAAAATAAATTCTAATATGATTGACTCTGAAATCGTCCGTTTGGGCGCCCCTAGACTAGATCATTTATAAAAAAAAACAACTCACTGGATGAAAAGTTCCTTTAGATACTGCAGCTGAAGACATTCTAACAGCTTTTTATAGACTAATTTTTGAATAATTATACTTGAATTAATATTTGCAATTTAATAACTTCTACTATGATTTATAATAAATATTTTATTTGTTATATTTTTGACATGAACACATACACGTGAATTCATCAAATCTGAATATTGATAAAAATATGTGATAAATGATAATCAGACTAGTGATAATAAAAATTCCAAAGGGTACGTATACGTATGATGGAGTAAGTACCGGTACCTATATAATTAAAAATGGTAAAATTATTCGACGTTAAAATGACCCACTGTAACATCATTATTGATGTTTGTCAATGGATATATAGGGTATTACGATCAGGCCCGATGAGAAGGGGGGGGGGGAAGCCGGGCCTGACCAAGTCCACTACGTCTCGGTCATGGTGTCGAGCTATTTACGCATCACAAACATGAATCGTGCTAATAACCTACCCAAATAATTATAGTGTATGTTGTATAGTTATAACGAGTCTACAATAAAGTGAACATTACGATATTGATCTAAAACGCAGATCAATAACATTTTCAAGAAAGACCCATATGCTATAAATAATTATTATTTTCATTTAGTCTGTGGAATGACCGTGACTGCGATTACATTACCTATCTCTTTGGTATACATATTTTAAAAGACGACACTGGAAGTCAGTTGTAAGTTTTTACCTCGTATGAGAAGGGCCAGGATTAATTTGTCCCTGGGGCCCTTGATTTCTCTCCATGGCCCTGATTATGATTTGTAGCAATAACAATAATTGTTATTTATAAGGTATAGTCACAAAGTAAAATAAAATCTATTGGGTGCTCTTTTACGTGGTTGGGTGGCTTTCTACCTTCCTTTTTTACCAGTGGCAAATTTTCAAATTTTATGTGGGGAAGGTTTACAATTTTTCTAAAAAAAAAAGTGATTTTATCATATTATAAAAATACTGGTTATGAATTAATAACTATATAATTATATTATTATAAATATAAATAAGAAGTTATTTATAATAAAAAAGGTAAGCGTTTTTTTTTTCCACAGTTCATCAATAATTTCTTCAGTTATTATTAAGTAGCTATTAAATAGTATTTATTTATTGATAATATTTTCTGAAGGGGAGGGAATATCTAAGACCCTCCCCCCAAAATATGCCACTATTCTTCACTTTAGTTAATTTTTATATCGTGCAATCTGTCTATTTACATTTATTAAAAATGCTTATTATTGTATCGATATTATAGATTGTATACAACATTAAAAAAAAAATTATTATAAAAACTAATAGCTTCCTCCCTTCAAAAAATGTACCCATTTCTTTTTATTAATTATCCTACATCCGGCTCTACTGAAATAAATAGGACAAATCAAACAAAAATTCGTTTTTAAAATGGTTAGTTTTCATTTCTTGAACCATTAGCATAATTTAAAAAGTGCTGGCAGGCATCCACGTTCATATAATAATGAGCCTATTTATTCATTTATTAGTTGGTTGTTTAATAAATAGGTAAATGAACCCATAAAGTATGTTATTTTGATGGTTGATATTAATGTTTATGCCATAAAATATATTTTCATAAAGGTTTCATTATAACCTTGAAATGCATCAGTCTAATTCATATTTTTTATATTCTCAAAGATATTACAACCGAATGATAATGTTAGATTTTTTTTTCCTCAACTCTAATCATTATTTTAATTATAATAAAAAATACCAAACTAAAATAATTGATTGTTTTTAGTTTACTACAAGTATGCTTAGATACCTATAGGTACTACAGATAATAAATATATATTTATTATCTGTAGTACAATATTTTGTTATACATATTTGTACAAGTGTTTTTCCCTGCAATAAAACCATGTGTGATATAGTACTATTAAAGTGTTAAATAAACAATAGGATTTGTGCATTATTAAAATTAAATACACAGATGAAATTGTTTACTTAAGAACCCAGTTGTGGATTAATAGAATAAAATCACTTGCAGAAGTGTATAAAATAGTGATGGTAAATAATAAATATTATATGCACGTAATAACTTTATAATACCACAATCTTGAACAACAAACAAATATCAACAAATAAATGCATACCTATTAATAATATTATATGTATATAATGCGTATAGAAATTAGAAGACAGTTTTTATATTTATTAATCAATTATTAAATCATAATTATAAAAGCAGAGTCGCATAAAACGAGGTGCACATAGGAGTGATACCCTAGAGTGGTAAATTTGAATTTATTTTGAGGCAAAGGATTTAAAAAAAAAAAAATAATTAAATATACAATCAAATAAACAAAAAAATTCGTATTAGATGGATTATAAAAAAAAAAAAATTAAAAAATTAAATATAAAGTTAGAAATATCAAAGTACCATGAATTTCACACCTTAAATATTAATCGTTTTCGTGGGACATTATTATATGACATACAATCACTAATCGCATGGGCATAGTGAGGGTGTGGCAGGGGGGCACTTGCTCCCCCCGCGCCTCAAACAAAATTCTATTTATTTATACCAAACGTATAAGTCTTACATTAAAATAAAAAATGAAATAAGATATGTCTAAAAATAGTTTAAATTGTTTGATGAAAAAAAAAGAAGAGCTGCAACAGAAAATTTGTTAAAATTGTAAAACTGAAACTTGAAACTTGAAAACTTGTAAAAATAAAAATGTGTTTTATTTTGCCCCCCCCCTGATTCAAATCCTAGTTACGCCCATGACTAATCGAATTTTTTTTTTTAAATAATACTGTGTTTATTTTAATTATTGTACTTAATAATGTTGTCAACGTTTTACAGAGTTTTATGAGAATTAATAATTCATGGTTCATCTACATTATTATTATTGTTGTTTTATTGACACAACCCATATGGGCCATGTGGATAAGCAACTATCGTTAGTATCCATAAATAAATATAATTACAGTTATAGTTTACAGACAGTAGCGGATTATAGGGTGGCAGAGGGGCCTAATTAAATAAAAAAATAATAATTTTTTTCTCATTTTTTAATAACTAATACAATCTATACTAACAAAACATTTATTTCAGTATATATATTAAAATAGGTCAAATGCTAAAAAAAATAATAATTTCATATTAATAATAACAATTTCTTTAATCACTAAAAATACATCTTAATTGGCTTTGTTGGAAACCATTAAAAAATTCAGATTTAAATTTCTTTGTATCGTTTCTTAACACTTTATTCAGAGTTCTTTCGTATTATTTTGCTACACTTCCGTTTAACAATCTATCGGAACATCGATATTTACCTACTGGTTTTTATACTCATTGGATAAGTGCATTGTGTCGCACAATAATTATTTTAATAATTTATTACATCAAATTTATTGGATTTATTTCTTATATTTTCTGGTATCAATGATATTAGACGAATGGCTTTGACTCTGTTCTCATCTGGGGAACATTTAAATATACGTTTATCGCGAATCTAGAACGATGTATGATGGGCCGACAACAGGAACTGCAATTCCAGCTATACCTGCAATAGTCGATATGGTTTCAAAGTTTGTTAAACAAATCCCTGTAGCAGCGGCTACAACGACAGCTGCTTCGCTAATGATATTTTTTGTTGCTGTTGCTGGATGTTTAGAAGCAATAGGTAGCAGTAGCTAATTCAACATTAAATTTCCATGCTGAAAAATACTTGATTCAAAAAAAAAAAAAAGATGAAACTCTTAATTAAAATTTGATTGTCATTCGAAATCATACTTAAATATGTATTGTGCGGAAAATGTACTTTTAGAATAACACGTTTCAATCATATTAATGATCATATTATTGCATATTTGATTTTACACCATTTTCATATCATTGAATGCAATAAATGCAAATGTTGTGATACTTGAATAATATGGTTATTCAATAACGAAAGTTATCTAGTTTATACCATACATCATAAGAAAATATATACAATATGTTTTATTAAAATGGCAACACGAATGATTTCTGTCTAATGACCTCGGATTGAAATGTGGTTTTCAGGAATAGATAAAGAATATTGAAATACACAATTTTTTGTTGATTTTTAAATTTCTAACCCCTTCAATGTACTCGTGTTCAATGAAACTTGTATTTTTTTAAATAGCAATCGGTATCTTTAACATATGACTCGGACAGACCAAATTTTTTAAGCATTTTTTTTTTTTTTTTAAATAAACTATATTTTTAGCTCAAAATTGGTTGATTTATTTCGAGTAAAAGTTGAAACAAAATAAATGTTTATTCGATTTTCAAAAATTAAATTAAATTTAAAAATATCTGTATTCTGTCATTATAAAATTATTTATACTTCTAAACATCGTATGACTTCATTTTGAGGAGCTTCTGTAATCTATTAATTTTTCAGTTGTGTGCATGATTCGGTGATTTGCTATTTTAAATTTTGGAGATTATTCAGTGGGTTAGCATAAACTATATATTTTAAATATCAACCCCTCCCAAAAAAAAAAAAAAAAATCAAGTGGTATTAAATCCAGTTAGGATTAAAATACATTCATTGGATGGATGAAATTAAATTCACAAATAATGGTGCAATAAATAAAAAAATATAATCGTTTTTAAGGAAGGAATAAAACACATCGGGCAATTGAAAGACAACTGACAAATTAACAGATTAAAAAATCATGGACAAAATTTCGTACAATTCATAAAATAACCAATTACTTGCAATTTTCTTTTCCGTGTACCCAGCTTTCAATCATAAATAATTTTATAATCACAGAATACAGATTTTTTTAAATTTAATTAATTCTTAAAAATTGAGTAAACATTGTTTTTGTTTTAACTTTCACTCGTTGTAAGTCAGTCTATTGTTAAGATAGAAATATAATTTATTTTTAAAAAAAAATTTGGTTTGTACAAGTCTAGTGTTTAAGGCACTGGTTGCAATTTAAAAAAATGCAAATTTCGTCACTGAAGGGGTAAGAAAATCATCAAAAAATAAGTGTTTCAGTACTCCCTACCTTCCCCTGAAAATCTCATTTCAATTTGAGGTTACTAGACAAAAATATTTCGTGTTGCCATTTGAGTGAAACACATTGTTTATATATAATTCATATAATGTGGGTTAATACTTTTTTTTAACTCTGAGAATCGTGTAGTTTATCCAATTATATTAATTTTTTATTTAGTTAATTATAATATATAGCTAAAATAAAAAAATTAAAATCTATTATTATTAAATGTTTGATACCTGTATATTAATAAATAAATAAATAAATAGCATATTTATTTCTATATATTAACTATTTGTTTATTTATTTATGTATCATAATATTTTGTATAAGAAAGCAACGTTATTGAAAACGTACATAATTAAATAAACTGCATTGTCAGTATAATGTATAAATGTAAAAAAATAAAAATAAAATAATCTACGTTTAATGTTTAAACTTATCGTGTTAACATTTCATTAATCGATTTTATTTATTTATTAACATGTTCGTTTGATCTGGAAATTCACATTACATCATCTTACGTTATAGCCATATGTGATAGAATTCCTAGTATTACTTTCCACTTTTGTTGAAAATAATTATTTATTGATGAAACGACATATTCAATTATTCATTAGATATACCGTCTAAAGGTGCATCCTCACTATGCCGATTCGCAAAGCTGCACTTGTGTAAACGTGACTGTCAACTTCGTAATCAGGCCGAATACATCGGATATCGTAACCCCGTCAGCGTGCGGTGTACATCAAAAGAAGCCGAACCGACTTGTCTAGTGGAGACGTGTTCCAACTCAATCAATATTTGATGTTAAAGGTAATCAAAACTTTCATAATAGTTCATTTATTTCATTTTTTCTTTTCTTGGTATTTAAAATATTTTTGAAAAAAATGGAGTGATGATAGAACTTTAAATTTAATAGAAATGCACCGCGGTGCACATACAAGAATATAAATTAATACCTTCCTTATCTTGGTAGAACCTAATATTGAATGCGATTAAAAAAAAAAAAAATGTATGTAGACATGCCGATTTCGAAGTGGCCGATTAGCTTTTCATTAAATTTTGTTGATCGGTAAAGTGAGGAAGTTTTCATGCGATTTTAGGTCTTCAGGTATAAAATTGACTGCGTTTGGAAATCGGAACAAATAATAATTACAATAAAACAAGGATAGCCAATCCGCAATCCTCGAAATTTATGTTACATTTGCAAAATATATTTATTTATGTTCAAAAAATGTTTGTGTGGTTAGAATAAAATATTTCGGAACGTCAGTGTTATTGAAAATGCCATCGCCAGTGCCGTAAAAACTGGGCGTGCAGAGTATGCCGCGCACACGGGCCCCAAGGTTTACATAAATTTGGGGGGGGCCCATTACTAGATTACTCATATTAGATTAATACTGTGTTCATCGCCAACAATTATGATAAAATACATTTCAGCTTTCCCCTTTTAATTTAATTTTTGGTTATCCATGAATTGTAAAATGTTTATTATTTTTTTTTGCAAAAGCGTTAAAATCAGTCTGGAGCTAACTATTTATAAGTCAAAAATGAAAAGTAAATATTTTTATCTCACCAAAGATCTATAACAGTAGTTTTTTTTTTTTTTGGAAGACAAAGTTATATAGGTAGATTATACTAAAGATATACTTATAGTGTATTATATTTAGCAGTTAAGGAACGTTACAATTGATGGTAAACTGCCATGCCCTTAACAATTGGTGTAATTTTTTTTTTAATTTGAATTTAATTGTTTTTAATAAAGGGTTTTCCCACAACTTGGGTGTGTTATCATTCCGGTAAAATGGTAGCATTATTATGTGGGTAGATTGAAATGCTTAAATACAAGTGACAATCATGACGTGTTTATCGTGCAAAAAAAAAAATATTATTTCTACAAAGAACACTGGTTGTCATTATATGTACGCGTAGGTTTTGTATAGAATAAATTTGTCACGATATTTCCATAAGAAAATACGAAGTAGACATGCAATCGGGAAAGACAGCTACGATAGAATAGATGGAAGAATAGAAACGATGGAATAGGATTCCATGTTAGCTCAAATGAAAATGATAAAACGTTGGACACGCATTGGAGTCATATCAGATGAATTCGTTTGTATATTGTTCACAGAAAATCATTAAAATTAATTCTATAGTTCTAAGTGTTTTTACTGTTTTTGAATAATGTTGTCCAATCTTTTATGTAACGTTTTGTATTTAGTGAAGATTAATAATTTATGGTGCATTTATATTATTATCGTTGTTATTTTATTGACACAACCCATATGGTTAAACGACAATCGTAGGTACTCGTAAATACATATAATTACAGTTATAGTTTACAGAAAAACATTTCGAATGTTCATTTATTTTACAATAAATTCTAAAAAACAAATATCCATAACTTGGCTGTGGCAATCATGACATACGTTTAATTTTTACGAAATATTTTATTTAAAATTTACTAAATATTATGTTTATACAATTTACATTTATCAATAAGAATTTATATGCGTATGACAAAATGTTGAAAGCGTATTATAGAATCTATGATATTAATTAAATGCGAGATAAAATTGATAGATATCCGTACATGTTAATTTTTCTGGAATTTTGCTAGTGAAACTTTTTTGAAAGAATCAGAAAATAAAATTATACTTAACAGTAGCAATTAGATATGTCCTATATGTTGTGTTGGTTTTCATGATTGCAGTTATGTATCTACACAACTTCTACAGTAATCGTTTGACCGGTACAATAATTTGCTGTCATTAAACCTCCGACCTAGAAAAACAGCCGTTTTTGTTTTCATGCTGCCATTTTTACATTTTACCGCGATAGACGTAATTAATACTATATACTCAACGATTTGTTTCTTTGAAATTATTATTAAATTATTATTACAAATTCAATATTTATGAAATTTATATTATTTTAATGCTCGTAATGGTGTACAAACGTATTCACATGAATCGTGCATATTTATATAAACAACATTCGATTAAATGAACCATTGACTGTGAGCATATAATAATTATAGATTTAGTAGACAAAGTATTATTTTATATGCACTTTTAAAATTAGTCGTGTCGAAGTTTACAAAAACCTATGATCGATGATATTTTCATTGTTATTCAGTACGTTGCGTTCAATTTTAATATTTTGTTTTATAAATTACAAGTACAAGTGGTATAATAATTACTTATTTGTATGTTGTTTGTATATTTATATTATTAATGATAAGAAAAATGTGCAGACTTTCTCAATTCAGTAAATTGATTTTTTTCAAAGCGTTAAAAGACAGCAAATAATTATAACATATAATATGTATTTACATCGAAATGTGTATTAATGTTATCTTAAATGATCTACGTAAATTTCATACAAGTTCATTGGAGAAATCGACAACTGCACACATTGCATCGCACGTCAGTCAAGATTTTGAACATGCAAGTGCCAACCGTGTAACTTAATATTGTAATTGCAATAACACAAGACTGTGCCTATGTATTATATGCACGAGTGCTTATGAGCAAATGTAGTTCACTTTTATCTACATACGTGTTATGATTCATAATTAATATTGTAATAACATTATTGAATATGATATTTAAGAATTGTACAGAATTCAAGACAAATATAATATGTGAGGTCAATAACAGTATGTTGAATTTAATTAGGTACGTTCAGCGCTGCAGTAGTAAAACACACGTATTTACTATCGATATTAAATCATTAGGTATACATATATTGTCTCATTAGCTGAGAAACTGTTCTATACTTAAGATGTATTTAATTCATTTTATGTTTTTTTATCTAATATCTACGTCAGAATTATAACAAATATATATTTTAAGCATATTTTGTACAATATATAATATTCATAAATAAGTATATATATATAATGTATTTTATATGACGGAGTGTTTAATAGGAGAATCTCATAGATTTAGTTCACGTATAAGAAATAAAAAAAATAATAATAGCTTTTGTACTCTTTTGATAACAGTAAATAATTCTATTAAAAATATTGTTCAATGCATTTCATAATGTTTTGTATTGGTATTAAATTGGACTATTTATATCAATAGAAACGTATGGATATTTTATCGTGCCGAAGGACATATCGTGCGTATTTAAGAAATGTATAACATACTATGTATTACATATCCTTTAGTGTTATAGGCAGGCACTGTATATATATTAGACAATAAGAATAAAAGAAAATTCGTAATGGTTTTTAAAATATTGCCGTGGAATTAAAATCACTCAATTCACGATGATAATATGTATATATATAGTACGTAATATTTAGTGTGTACATTTGTTGTTAATCAAATTACAAACTATTACTATTTCATACCATTGTAATTTGTAACACACTGCGACTTCAAGCTGCCACTTAAAATATAACCGATCAAATTACTCCACTGAGCACTACAGCCAATATTCAGATATTATTTTCAACGATAATTAATAACTTAAAAGCCTTTATAGGATGGGATTATTTTTTACATGACCTGCTTTTGCCGGCGCCTACTCGTGAATCATGATAATTTCGCATGCGGTGTGAAACGATTGATAAGATATGTGAACGACAATAAAAGAGGTGTTGCATAACGCATCAGTAATAAGGATTATTTATTATGCAAAATAATTATATTACACAAAACATGAGCAAACGTTGCAATACAGACACGAGACTCGCGCTTCAAACATATATTTTGAAACTATTGAATATCAAGTTTCAATGCTGCTATGCCCATAGGAATATATATATATATATATATATTAATAATGTAGTAGCAACAGTAGTAGTAGTAAATTAAATATTTTAATAATTTAGTTACATCGAGTAGCTATGTATTAATTATACGAGCAAATTTTGTAATATTTTACATTATCCGTCGAGGCGTTGACGACGACATGATATATTAATTATTATTTCATCATCTACGAATTAAAATAATTATTAATAATAATCATTATTTATGGAAATTTTTTCTCATTAACTTGTTTTCGACGTCAGTAGTCCGTATTACTCTAGAGTTCGTATTAGATATATACGAGTATATACCTAATTACTGTTGGACAAAGTTTGTGTAGAACGGATATTTTTCGGTTTCGCTAATGGATGTAGAGTGTTTTATGATACTATTGGTGCATGATTTGGAGATATTTAACGAAGTTCAAAATGGAAAAAACCACCGTGGCTTACCGATGTGCACATCATAGAAAATTTCGGCGTTGAAATAACTGAAATGTGAAATATCTAAAAATATTTATAATCTATGCATACTAAACTATAACAGTTAACTATAAAATCTTAAACTATAATAACTTCCGTTGGTCAAATAGTTTCGAATATTTTCAAGTGTGCTGTGTATTATACACCCTCTTGATTTTTAAATATAAAAATAAATCGTTTATGTATGTATATATATTTAAAAAGTAACGTGTTTAAACTGTTTTAGCTGTGAATTTGCCAAACCACTTTGAATGTTTGAGTGCAAGCAGCGTTTTACATAAAGCACTCGATAAAGTTATGAAGGTAAGACAACGTAGTTATTTTATTTGTTTGCATCATAGATACATTATTATTGCAGTGCCACGCGATAAAACATAATCCGCATCCGTATAATATAATATACAACACTCGGTATCCGAAGATAACCATTATACTTTCAGTGCGTACGATTTTATTTCTGCAATGACATTTAAAAGGATTAAACTCGACATGACACACGTTGCGCCGTTCAAGACGTTTCAGTTTGTTAAAAATAAAACAATACGCTCGCACGAAAATGCATACACGCAGCATGGTGTAACGAAATAGTACTACCGCGGTAAATGGACATGTATCCTAACACGATTGTTATAACGGTATACAATATAATATATTAGCAGTACAATATGTACACATATTGCGTGTACAGTTTAACTGTTACAGTGCACTATATGTATATAATATATAAAGTTATTATTATAATTATTATTATTATCATATACATATTATTATTGCGTACACACATACGTGACACTGAGTGCAGGTTACGGATATACGTATTACAAACACAATAGATCTAGTTCTCTCACGGCGGCGTGCAATGTTACGTACGATAATTTTTTCTCCTCTGCGAACTTTAACTCCTCTCATAGGTATACATTTACATACACCCATTTATCCTCCGGTGGTCTCCATGAACACCCACCCATGTTTTAACATAATATATACTAACTGTAATCCGTCCTGCGACTTCTGAGCTGTGACTGCACTAACAACGGCCGTTCACCGCCGCGGTATATGCAGTTTCAACACACACACCGATCTACATTATTTTATTGTTTATACGTTAAGGAACGTGTCTAGCGTGGTATTTAACTACCCCTCAGAAATGTAAAAAGAATTGATAGAAAAGTTCTGCTTAATATTTTTATAGAATTTATGTTTAATATCATCAACATTTGCAAGGCTTATTTGTATAATACATCGTCGATGTATCTAGTACTATTGAATTATTATCTTGTAAAATAAATCTATTTTAAATATGTGATGGTAAAAATATTGAACCCCCATCCCAAAAAATATCTAGGCTCATCCCTGCATACGTTATATTATTTCATCATCGATTCGAACATATTGTTGTATCATGTAGATACTTCTAGATGTTCATACGGAGGCAAAAATGGAGTCAAAATACTATTCCAAAACTGAATTCTGCTGTTGATTCACTCTCTCATCGCACCAATCTTCGACCTAACATTAAAATACTTTTACAATTATTCGCCACGTTACCAGTTACCTCTTTCACTCCGGAAAGAACGTTCTCAGCACTTAATCGCTTAAAAATTTTGTTAAGAAGCACCATGTCGGAAAACAGACTGAACGGGTTAGCTATGGCTAATATAAATAAAAAGAGCAATTCGATGAAAGTGAAATAATAACTGAATTTGCCAGAAATTTGCCTAATAGAATGCAGCTGTCAGAGTGGAGTAAGTGACTGAATACTGAAACCAAAATTATTATTATTATTATTATTATTATAGATTATATATTAATAAATATTTTTAAAACTATACTAAAATGCTTGAATTACATTTAAAAACATGGGGATAGATGGTGGGGAGGGGTTAAGGGTGAATTCTCATATCTCATTTTACCTTACTTATCCAAAAAAGTGATTAGCCCCTCCCATTAAAAAATCCTGACTATACCACTGCTGGAGCCCCTCAATATTTTTTATTCAAGTCACTCCTGAAATTTGTGATGTTCAACGATTAGACATTAACGTTGTATTTAAGTATGTATAGTGACTATTGTAATATATAATATATATAATAAATAATTTATATGTTAGTCAGTTTTTGTTTAACTTCTCGTATTACGGATTACACTTAGTTCAACAACTGACTACAACAAGTTTTCAGTTATTGATCAAGGCACTGAAACATTTTAAATTAAATACATTTAAGAACAATATTTGAATTTGAAGAAATCGGAAGATGTTCCGATCGTTGATGCCTAACTGGCAGTTATATTCCGTTACCTACCACGTTCTTGTACAGGTCAGAGGAAGTGCTATTCAGAACTATAGGAAACATTTGATTTGGATGATGATGATCGTTAGGCATAGAAGCATCAGACGGTCATTTAGATTATTGTGACACGCCTATAAGAATATCTGATGGAAGCGTCGGCAAAACAGTAACGTTCCTGGATCTTTTTATTGGAGTGGGAGGCGAAATTCATACATGTATTCAAATTTATGTATTTTCCTAGTAAGATATACATAATAAATAACAAAAAATTGAAGAATAAAAGGCCAAAAGGGTCACATTTGGCCCTCCTCTTGAGGACGTCTCTACGACAGATTCAACGAAGACACTTCTGGTAGACATTGTTGGAACATCTACTCCCATGGTTCGACGCAGTTTTGGCATGTTCGGACGCGAACGATTTGCTTGGATTTTGTGAAAATGAAAATAAAAAACCAATTGTTGAAACATTATGTTTTCGCTCACATGCATAACGGTGGTTTCGTGGGTTACGGTCTTGAAGATGGGATCGCGAAAGCTTCGAAAACCGCGGGCGCAACAGCAGAGCGTTGACGGTGGAGACGACCGTCGGCACCGGATCGATTGGTCGAGTGTCGCGGATGCATCGCGGTAGTCGTACCGACGACATGTCGTACGTCCACGGAGAGAAGTCCCCCGGCGTCGCGATGCCGTGGTTAGGATCGCGGTAACGTACGACCGCGCGTGCGGTGGGGGCACCCGGAGACATCCGCGACCTACTCTGCGTGCGATGCGCGGGGGACAAGGGGGGGGAGTTGGGCTATCGCAAGAGGTGCACGCGGTGCGTTGAAACGTGTGCACGCGCGCCCGCGCCGTCCGTCGAGAGCGGTCCAAGAATACACACGACCGACGGACACGCAGTTGCGCGGGCTCGAGTTTGCCGACGCAACCGAAACCATTCGGTCGTGCTGCCGACGCGTATCGTTATTACACGTTATTGTTGTTGTAATTATTTTATTTATTTTTCCATCCGGTATTGTTCATTACAGTTTAACATCGAAAACAATCATTACTGTTGCGCGGCCGTGCCGAGAGCTTACGGGAGAACATCGGCGGTTCGTCGGACCGACCGGGGGACTGCGAGACTTACCGCGACTGGTAGCTCCTCCACCGCATTGACCGCCCAGCGGTCTTCTGTCGACAGGTAAGTGTCGCTACGTACATCTGCACTACGTGCACTGCTGTGTTTTGCACCTGTACCGGCGACGTTACGGCACGACGAAATATCAGCTACTACCACCGTACCCGCGTAAATCGTTATTTTTTTGTTTCTCGTGTACGTTTTTCCGTTCGGATAGTTGAAAACTTAAAAATTACCAAAATCACAACGCAGTCGCAATCCGTAACATTTTATCGTTACGTGGGTTTTGCACTTGTATACATGAATTGAAATATAATTCTTAAATGGAATTTATTATAAATAAAAAATATTCATAGAAGTTTAAATGTATTACATCGGAATGTAATATTGTATTATTGTATGTCCATATTGCGAATTTTTCGAATTATATAAGATGATACTTCTCTGTTATGATATTTTTTAATTGCTGAGCTGTAATTATTTCACCTAATCAGCTAAGGAATAATAAAAAAGATTATACTACAGCTGGCATATACACTCTATATATATATTTATATCATATTTTTATCTTTGTGAATTTTAGACTAAATATTTGTTGAACGCCAACCATTTATGTTTTCAATTTAATCATTTTTAGTATCCTTAATTCTTTTCTCAATATTTATGTATCTCCTACATTTCAAGTAAATATATCAAGTAAAATTTTTGTAAATAATTTATTAAAAATAAATATTTATATAGTGTTAAAATTATGGTGTAGATTATAATCTACAGTGGTTAAGACGAATAGAGTGTGGAGTATACTATATGCATTTATTATCTCTATTAATATAAAAAATATTATGGTAATTGATATATAAATTAAAATTTCAAAACATAATTTTAATTGAATTACTAATTGAAAATAGTTCTCACCACGCTATTAGTTAGAAAATAATATAAAAAAAAAACAAAGTCGTTTTAATGGTTTTTGAGAAGATAAAATATGTTTAACACTAACTTGAATAATGCATAATCAATTTTATTATGTACATTTAATTTATTCAATAAATTGCATTCATTTTAATACAGGTTAAGTTTTCTGTACTATAAGTATACTTGTTTAGTATTGCTTATGACTCATAGCTCATTGTAATGATCACTTATTCATTATAATATTATTTACTATTATTAATATATTTTACTAATTGATTTTTAAAAATATATGAAATTAATACATTTTATTCAACATGTAAAATTATACAAAATATACTTGAAAAAAAAACTTCATGTAGGATTTTTAAATTAATACTTTCTTTATTAAAATACCTATGCATATCTAAATACGAGTACATATTCTTGCTTAACTGATACACGCAAACCGAACATTATCAATTTATTTAATTTCAGATAGCAAATAATGGCATTTATTACGGGGAAAATAATTAATCAAGTTTACTTTTTTATCTGTATTATGATAGTAAAAACTATAAATCAGAATTTTTAATAATACTATAATTACAAAAATTATTTACACAGTTAATAAATAATTAGTTAAAAAGGTAATTAAATTTATATCGGATACAGAGATAAAAAAGATTAAAGATAAAGATAAAAGTTAAAAAGATTTTAATTTATCAAAAAAAAAAAAAAAAAATAACTATATAATTGCATGACTCATATTGATATACATAATTTTCCGAGAGACGACCCCCTCTCCCTGATTACCAATAAAAAAAAAACATAATTTGGAGATTTAGTTTTAATCGTACACTAAATAAAGTCAAAATATATTTTAAGCTGTAATGCAAACCAGTTAACTTTAAATTATTAAAATTTTTCTTTCAAACCCCTCCCCTCCTTTATCATAGTCTGAATCTGCTCCTGATCTAACTACCAAATAGTTATATGGTGTCTTTATAAATAAGTTCATAACATCGCAGATATACATTTCTAATTATATAATACTAAGACAGCTTGGTCAAGGTTTAATGTGTGACGAATTGAATGTATTTTAAGACATTCAATAAAGTTAAAGTTTCGTATTTACATTTTTTTCTATTCGACATTTTTCAAAATTGTTACATCATCTTGTTGTATAATGCTAAATAAATAAATAAAACAAATATTACAGAAAAATATAATGTATTTAGTAATACGTACATATAAATTTTAAAATACGTGATCAATAATTTTATTTTAAACAGTTGTTACGATGGATTTTTCAAATCAAAGTGAAAATGCTCACATATCACTCTCTGATGAAGTGTTGGAAATCTTGGAAGCTCAGTTTAACAAAGTCAAAACTCTTCATTCTACTGATTTGGAGTTAATTGCAGCAGAATTAGGCGTTAGAGATGTAGACGTTAAGGTAAAATGAAATTATTTTCTTACTTAATAGCATCAAATATATAATTAGTTAGAAAAAAAATTATGAAGATTTTCAAATACAAATAAGTAAACCATATAGTTATTTATTAATTTATATAAAATATTTAAATAACGAATTCGTTATTACTTTATTAATATATTAGTAAATTACAGAAAAATATAAAACTAATAAACTACTAATATAAATACAAGGATTTTAACTGTGTTGTAATATTGCTTATTAAAAAATAATAAAAGTAAAGTGGCATCATTAAAATATATGCATTTAAAAGGTTTTAAAAACAATTGAATTATAAGTACACATTTAATCGTTAAATTGTTTTTAAATGACAACCTTGATCAGTATTAATATTTTTCTATTAAATCAATATTTTTATGGATAAGTTATTAAATAAAACCATATATGAATAATTAATAATGATAAGTAATATAATTAACATAAAAAAATGTGTTTTCATTAGTGCCAAATTTATTATAACTTTCAATAAAAAATATTTATTTTATTTAATCAGTAACAATGTACATAACTATACATCATGTTTAGTTGATTAGAATTTATGTAGTCGCTAATCGTGATCAAAATATGTTTAGAATATTCAGCATAGAGGAAAGTAAAATTTACGAGGATTTATGTTATATTAATTACCAAAAGAAGTAAGTAATTATCATATTATCTTGTACGTGAAAAAAATTAATTCAAATATTTATAACTAAAATTATAGAAACATGGTTTTAATGCAGTTATAATTTTTAGTATGATAATATTACAATATCATTTTAAAACCCTATCCTAAATTTAAATACATTTCAATAATATGAAAAGTATATAATGTATTGAAATATTTTCATATTTTTCCCGTAATACTCTTAGGTAAATAGTATATATATATATATATATATATATTTATGTGTTTATAGGATGAGATGCAAAAATTGCTAAAAGCTGGTGCTAATATTAATGTTTAAATTATCATTCGCTAAACAAATTATAAAATATATTAATTAAGTATTAAGTATTTATAATAATAAATTATATTAAAAATATATTGGATGTTGTGATTTGTATAATATACACTATTTAGTATTTATATATATTTACATATTATATTGAATTTAAAAAAACAAACATAGAATATATACTTGTTTATAATGTACTTGTGTGTAAATGTCTGTAGCAAAGAAACCTATCTAAATAGTTGCATATAGATATATTATGTAGTTAGGTACCTACTTGAAGTAAATCATGATTTATTATGATATATTAGCCTCTAATTATATTTTAGATCCCTTTATTTTTTTTATTGATTTCGATATACAATTTGCTTTTATTTAATTTCTTCGTGTTTTGACGGAATAAAATATTTTTAGCAAAGAAAACTTTTTTGGTTAAAGAAGAGTTTCTTAAATGTTATATAAGAAAATCTGTATTGAAAACCAAAGAACTAAAGTAGTTAGAACTCTGAATCCCCTCAAAAAATAAAGACTTTGAACATAAATAATTATATTATATATGGAGTTATTTTTTTAAACATATCGTTGTTGAGGTTGAAGACATAGTTTGGTAGTTTCTTCTGTATCATTGCAGTGATCTGAGAATTATTTTATTTCTATAGAATATGTAACTTATATTGCTTTTAAAAATAATTATTAAATTAAATTATAACTTTAAAAATTTTCTGATAATAAATAGTTATAAAAATTATCTACAAAAACTTTTTGTTGAATAATTTAAGAATTTGTTAATTTTAGTGTTAATATAATCTGACAGTTGAAACTTAACCTAATGTGATGACTAAAAATAACATATTGGAGCGAAAATAATCTAATTTAAGTATTATCGAACTAAGGAGAAATTAACAAATCACAATAGCTAATTGGACGCATATTTGAGATGTCAGTCAAGGATAAATGTATTTTATATATCATCATCATATAATTAACTTTGGCTTTATATAATATATAATTTATATTATGGTGACCATTGAATTGGCTCCCAATTTTAGGTAAATACTAATTCGACCCTTGAATTGGCTCCCGAAAATGTATTTTTTTAAATTGGCTCCCAAAACTGTTAAATATTATTATTTAACAAAGGGGTTCTCATAATATTATATGCGTTTACTTTTTCGACACCAACCAATCATAATCTAGTTTGATATAATATTTTTATTATATGTTATAACGACACTATAATTTTTTATGGGTTTTATCTTTTTTGTATTAATTTTTATTTATACAATATACATATTATATATTTTATAACAATGCGTTAAGCTATGATATTGCCTGTATTTTAATTTTTAATTATTGTTCGTATTTATTGTGTTATTAACTATTGTAGTAAATTTACTAAATAATTACTATGTCAATATTTGTTATGATCGAAAAGGGAATCGGCCTATTTTAAATTTGGTCGAAAAGTGAATCAGCTGAAAAGAGAAAGGTACGATTTTGGTCAAAAAATAAATCAACCTATTTTAAATTTGGTCGAAAAGTGAATTGGCCGAAAAGGGAAGGGTACGTTTTTGGTCGAAAACGGCCATGTCCGTTAAATAGTTATAATAAATATATATTTTTAATATTTTCATAATTTTTTCTAACATCGTTGAATTATCAAGGATGTGGTTTGTAAATATTCTTATATTTATTTTATGTATTGGGTCAGTAGAGCAGTAAAGGTATCAGAAGGTACACAATGATGTGAAGAGTTGTATTTGTGAATCTATGTGTTTCCATCCCATTATTGAAGTGAAAATCCTACAATTATGTAACACAAATCAAAAATAGATTCAATGTACATACAAGATACGTGTGTTCTAAGTTAATAGCTGAGAACTTCGTATAATTATGTAACATGTAATCTTTCTTTTTTATAATATATAGTTTTATTTTATGATTTCTAATACTTCATTAGAGACCTCGTAATGCTATAATGGGTTAAAATAAATAAATATAGTAAAACATTTTTTAGTAATAGTTTTATTAGTATTTGTTATAACGGACAAGAAAAATGAATATAGTTTATGAATAATTATAACTATAAAACATTTTAATTATAATATTATAAATTATTTCAAAAATATTTTGTATTTTGTAATAATATTATATTAATTATTAAGATTTAATAATTAAGATCATTATTAATTTTCATTATCCGTGTATGTTTTAGATTTGGTATACCAAACGACTTGCGGCATGGAGACGAAGTCAAGGACTTTCAGATTGTTTTGGGCAATTGTAAATTAAAACAAAATACACTAACTACACCTACAATGTAGATACTACATGTATTAATTATTGTTTAAAAGAGAACGTTGTTATTTTTCATAATAGAGATTTTATGATTTCTTTTATACAACATGGTAAAATTATATTTGTTGTTGTATTTATTTAGTTGTTATTAGTATTATATTGTTATATTTTGAATAATTTTAGTATTATGTTTTGCATAATTTTTTTTTTTTATCGTTGCATCGATTCGTAAAATACTGCAATAATACGCGAAAATGAACAAAATGTATAATATCTATATTTTGTTATTTATACAGTTTAATGAGTTTTTATTTCACTCGAGAAGTATACATATAGTTATTATGTAGTATGCCTAAAAATATCAAGTCTTATTTTTATTTAATAAAATATTTAAAGTTTTAACTATAAACGAGATTTGTTGATTTTTTTGGAGTTATTGCAGACTAATTCGCTTTTATCAGTAATTTAAAACCTTTATTATAAAAACTTTTCTGTTGTTAATAGTAGTATGTGTATTATATAAATGCTATTATATATGCTACATTTCTAATAAAAGGATACGACAATAGCTTATATTTTTTATGTTCTCAATAGTGGCAAACTTTTCATATTCTGTGATTATCCGTTATATATAGAAGCTTCAGATATTCTAACCAGGACTGTGTTAAAAATTGGAAATATATTAACATACTCTACTTAATATTTGTGTACGTGTACGCACCCATGATTTACTGAACTACTGTAGAATACATTTTCTGCTTTCAATAAATATATAAATAAAGCTATTTTATAGTAGCCGTTTTAATCATAAATTTTTATATTCTATTACTTGATTTAAAGTTATACGTCAGTCATTTGATTTTTAAATGAAACACGCTCTACGCAGTGTGGTCTGTTTAATTATATAAACGTGAAACTAATTTCTTTGAAATGGCTTATCTCAGAAACTACACGACCGATTACATAGATTTTTTTGTATCTTCCTGAACTCCCATCACACAAGTTTGATTTAAAAATTGTTTTTCCAAATATTTTAATTCGAAATTTTAATGCACAGAAATTGTGCTATGGCACAAGATTACAAATTAAGTCTGTGAAAAAGAACATTATTGAGATAAAAATAATTTTTATTTTATTATAATATTAATATTAACCACTAACATGGCGCAAGAACAATCGTTGAATATTACCGGCATCGATAACACAGATTTATGTTTCACCCATGGTTAACTTTATGATGCAGCGCATGCAGTGGCGAAATGCAATAAAGAGCTAACTACATTACTATACTTCATCAAATTATTACCTACGAAGAATATTATAATTGTATTGTATTATGAAAATTACTATAAATATTATAAATACTATAGATACGATTATAATACTATAATTGATGGTTATAAAGTAATACTAAAATCATTGATGATGCGGCGCTCTGTATAGGCAATTTACGGTCATAATCACAAAAGTTGAAGTATACAGACAGACCCAGTAGGTTATAGTTATCACAGAATAGATTAAACTAATGTATTTTTTTGACACTGTTGCGTTTATTTAAATATTATATTTATATTCATAATTATAAATTTTTCTTTTAATATAGTTACAAATTGTAAATGTATATCGGTATTGACTGCGCGGCAGTAGTTCAAAAAAAAGAAGTTAAAGTAGTTTAAAGTAAAGTAAAAAAAGAAAATAGTTAAAGTAGTTTTGCATTATCTGCAATACCCCAAGGATATCGTTCATAGTTTAAGACTCTTATCCATATATATGAAAAAGCAAAATATAACAGATATTAACGATTTAGACTAGTGATGGGAATAATCGAATCATTCGATTATTATTTTTCGATTATCAAAATTATCGAATGATTTTAGTAGGTGATCGAAATAATGTTACCAGACATATTTATCAAAAGAAAATTAATTTAATTATTCGAAAGAAATGCGTGTTTTACTCATTGCCGATTAGGTACTAAATTAAGAAGTCGGGTGTCCATCAATATTGAAATATTATTTATTTTTAATCATTGGTATAATTTCCGGTATCGGTAATCGCTAAACTAACCGCGGTTTAATACGTACACATATTTAGATTGAAAATGCAATTCACTTTCACACTAATAGATAATCATTCGATTATTTTTACAACCATTTCAAGCAGTTAAATCATGAATCATTCGATTATTCTGATTTCGTGTACTAATCATTCGATTATTCGATTATTTTAATTTCATTTACTAATCATTTGATTATTCGATTTTTTTTTCGATTACTAATCATTCAATTATTGAAATCATTCTATTATTCCCATCAATAATTTAGACTACATAAAATATTTGTCTAATTTGTTTAATGAAATTGAAATATTGATGTTTGGGAGATTTACTTGTGTTTTCTAAAAGCCAAAATTTATTAATTTTATAATGATGCGTGTAGTTTTTCTAGGAGACACTTTTTAGACCATGAAAATATGTATGGAGTTTTATGTAATACAGTACTAAATACACATCTTATATTATTAAATATTAAAGTAAAACAACGATAAACTCAGAAAAGAGGTAATTTTGTATTTCACTATTAATTGTTTCCCAATTTATTTAAAATTTAAAAATCAAATAATTAGTACCAGTAAGTTTATGAAATATTTAAATTTTAGAATAGCAGATTAGGTATGTTATTTCATTGGAATGTTAAGATTAGCAAATGTATGTTTTCATACAAGCTGGGCACATGTTGTTAAACCCATTTTAAAACTATTTTATGGTTTGATAAATTTTTCGATAAATTCATATATTCCTTTTTTTTAATTACGTCTGTTGATTTAGTTATGAAAGTTCAAAATAATAGTAATTAACTTAGTATAATTTGAAGGTTATTATAATATAATAACCTACATATTATGTAGGTATTTATGCATTTATTCGTATTAAATAAAATATCTGAGAAAAAAAAGTTAAAATTGTACTAATGTAGAATAATAAATTATCGGTTGTAACTTGTATCCTGCTGACATTATCAGCAGAATTAACCAATTAAATCGAATCTTTTAAAACATTATTTGCTTTTGAGCTTCAAACATTATCTAATATTTTAGATATACTAAATTGTTAGTCGTTGAAAATAATAATCTTATGACAAGCTTCCCGGAATAAGTAAAGGCATTTTATTTATTTCTCACTTTACCATTAACTATAGCAGGGACATATTTTAATGGAAGGGATGAAGGGGCAATCACCTCCCCCCTGAATCCATATTTAAGGAATCGATTATGAAAGATACACATTTAAATTTTTTTAATGTGGATCATTTTATAACGAAATCAAATTACAAGTGGCTGTAAATACTGAATTGGGCTTTTTGTCGGGTCCATACTTAGCGAAAAATCAAATAAAACACAAGCGTAATTTTCAAAATACAGACAGGTATTAAAAAAAACCATACAAAAGTCGATTCTAAGTGGATCCGGTATTAGAATAAAAAAAACCACAAATATTAAGTATTCACCAGATTTAAATATTACCAAAAATTTAACTTGGAAATTTTGAGCCTTAATTAAAGAAAAATTTGAGTCCCCCCTCCCTATAAGTAAGTCTAAATACGCCCCTGAACTATAGCCAGTGCTGAGAGATCGTTTTCAAAGCTGAAGTCAATACCGAAAAAACCGGTATTTTTAAGTTTTTTTTTTTATAACGGATTTGGCTTTTAATAATTTATTTATCAAGGGGAATATTTCATTACAGTTTGCTAAAAATAGTTAACATTGTAATACTAAATATTAGAGTACTGTATAACCATGGATTAAGATATAATGGACTGGAAACGAGTTTATAGTTAAAATATTTCAACAATGATTTAAATAAAAATGATACACTGTGTTTGTAAGTAATACTTATTAAGAAGTTACTAAAAACTGTCATTGTCTTAAAGAAAAATATTGTCATTATATAAAATAATGACGGGTACCAATAATTGGTCCAATAATTATTGTCCGCATGCCACATTTTTAATCGGGAACCAATTGTTCATTTACCGTTTTACGTGCATCGTGATTTCTAGCGGGACAACGGCTGTACGCAGGACCTAATGTATTTTAATATTGGAAATCGCTGGCCGTCCGGGGGTTTTTATTCCATGGAAACTATCGGCCGAGCTCGCAACCGGAAAAGTAATTCAAGGTGTACAGTACAACACAGTGGTGAATACAGAAAATATTTTCGGTATTCGTCACTGTGTTGTACTGTACACCTTGAAGTAATAGTCCATAGCTAATATGGACAGAGTTAAATGACCACTGCTATCTGAGAATTACTAACAAAACACATTAGGTACTTATCTACATTTCATTTACAGAATGTCCCAAAACGATTTGACGTTGGACGCAAGTTTTAGATTAGCGTAAAACACTATTAAAATATAACATACGTTTAAAATAATTTTTAAGTTTTTTAAAACATTTCGGAGGGGGGGCTGTGGCCCACTAGGCCCCCGCCCTATATACGCCACTGGAACAACAGATATTTCGTAAGTGGAATTCGAAACATTTTTCCTGGCAAAATTGTCGTGCATTCGACGGGACAACATCCGGTGCACGTGAGCACACGGCGGCTGGGCGTTAATTAATTTTGTTGACGGCGGCGGTCGTATAAACCAGAATAATAATAATAATATGACGGACGGTGTTATTTTGAAAACATTCTACGGAAACGATTCCCGCCAAAACACGCACAACAAGTGAACTATAATCACAAACTGGAGACCGTGAACACGAACGCACGCGCATATCGCCGCGGACTGAGGGCGCATGCGCACCCGGTGCGTACGCTGCGCGAAATCCCAGATCGGTTACTGTCGGCCATCTTTTGTAAACGGTTTTTTTATTTTTTTATTTTTCCCCCATTCTGTGGCATAACCATCGGTAGACAACCGTTTTTCGTTTATTTCCGTGGTCGACCGTCAACGTTCGTCGTCGTCATTGTTGTCGTCAGTCCGCGGTCTTTTTCACCAACTCCCGTCGGTAACACTATGGCGAACACGAATCGGTAAAAAAATCGAAAATCGATCTAACCGCACAACAGTACCCGCCAATCCTGTCACCTATCGGACACGGACTATCGCGTAGTCTGCGCATCTCGTCGTTCGCGCGAATTGTGTTTCCACAGTTTCTGGTTGTTATTACCATATTAATATCTCGTTGAAACGTGCGCCTGGACCAACGCCGGGCCAACTAGTTCTAAAGACTACGAATAAAATCGACAGGTAAATAGATTAATGACATTGTAGAGTTGTACTGCTACCAATCTTTCTATACCCGGGGAACGGCGAGGAATTACGACCGCGTCGATGTTATCCAGCACCGAAGTTCTTGTTCCATCGCATGTCTTGGCCGTTTCGATCTATTGCTATTCGTGTCGGCGCCATCCGTCTCCTCTTCAGTACGTGTGTGCTTGTTGTTACGTGTTTGTTTTCCTTCGATATGTTATTGTTTCTGTTTGTATCCTTTGGTGGTTCATTGTTAATTTTTGATAACATTTAGTTCTGTATGAAAATATACTCTAATTTACATTTCATAATAGTATCATTTACCTCTATTATTTGTTCTTAAAAACTTCATGTGTTATATGCTATTGTTGTTGGATCATAATTTTTTTTTTATTAAATACTTTTGTTTCAGAGCACTGTAAACAAAATTCGATAGCCAAAACTACTATCGCCGGTATGGCGTCCGTAGAAAATGGAGGAACACCTCCAGCACCTCCTAGGGCAAAAAAGACTGCTGTTGAAGAGATATACCAAAAGAAGTCGCAACTTGAACATATATTACTTCGACCCGATACTTATATTGGTAAGAAATTCAATTTTGATTTTATTGTTGACAAAATGTTTCAGTTACATATGTAATCAGACTATTTAATTTTTTTTTTTTTTTTTTGTAATTGTATATAGGCTCAGTAGAACCGGTTACAGAGTCTATGTGGGTTTATGAATCTGAACAAGATTGTATGGTCCAAAGAGAAATAACTTACGTACCTGGGTTATATAAGATTTTTGATGAAATATTGGTGAATGCAGCTGATAATAAACAGAGAGATCCGTCAATGGATACAATTAAGATTGAAATCAATCAGTAAGTACATTTTCAACATATTAAAAATATTAAGATCATGTTGTAAAATAAGTAAAGAAAATCGTCCTAGTTTTAAATATAAGGTATATCAATTAGGTAATAGGCTTTATTTTTTATTTAATTTTAGCAACATTTTATATTTTGATATACAAACATTTTAATTTCGTAGTTTAAATTCTAATTGGTAAAAAAAAAATAAAAATATTAGAAGTGTTTTAAATTATTTAAGAACTACTTAATTTAATTAAAAAAAAAATAATAAAAAATATATAAATATATATTTATTAAACATAAGTTTTCAAGTTAATTTTTAAACAAATTACTATCTAAATTCTTAGCAGTGTTTGTCGGGTTATTATATTTTGAAATTATATAATCGCTGTATTTTACTGCTTAAATTAATATCAATGAATGATAAATGTAAATTATTTCTACATGCCCTAAATTGTTAAATATAGGACATTATTAAATGTACATTACAATTAATATTTTATTACTTTTTAGTTTCAACATTAAACAATAACTTCAAAAATAATCACCACATTATGTTTTTGTTATTTATTTAATTATTTTAAAATAAATATTGAATTTCAGAAAAATTAAATTTACTGCAATATATAATAAATTGATACTGTGGTTATTTTCTTATTTCTTATAGTATATTATATTAATTTCTTTATAGTAACTAGGGTTTGATCAAGAGGAAGACTAAGGTGGAATGTCTATTCCCTCGGGCTGTAAGTTTAAAGTGGCTACAATGTGTTTTATAATCATTGGATTACAAATATAAAGTACTGTTTGATCAATTATTTGTGACTATACCTAGACAATATAAAAATATACTATACTTATTTTAATTAACATTAATTAGAAATTACCAAATCTGAATAATAAAATGAAATTATTTTGGGTGAAAAGGCCTTATCAAGATTAATAGCCCTCCTTATATTATGACCATAATCCGACCTTGATAGTTACAAGATTTTTCTAACTTTTTTTTTTATTAATACAATTTTCATTATAAATTATAATATTTGTTTGATACATAAGTATGCAACAGGATAATATTAATTAAATAATTATAATCAAAATTAATTTAATAGTATTATATAGTACTGCTTTATTTATATGTTTTTATATTTACTCTCATGTTTTAAATCATTAAAATAAAATATTTTTGGTATAATACTAGTGTAGTATACTGCAGTGTCAGACTTCAAGCAATTAAAATCATAATAAGTGTAAATAAACACTACATATTGGAGATAACGAACTTGTTGAATGAGTCTTGTAATATTTTATACTAGTTCCGAGTTAAGACTGATTTGATTTTTTGGTAATATTTGGGATAAAAACCCTTGTCTAATGGGTTAGTATTGCTTTTGTCAATTAGATGTTCAGATTTTCATCTTTTTTTTTTTACACATATACAAATGTTTTCTAAAACTCCTCCTTAATTATAAAATATAAATTATTTTTTTGATTTTTATATTTGTTTAAATATTTCTCCATAATTATGACCATGCACAATTTATATGAATTATCTATCAGGTTTCAAAACAGTAGAACATGTTATATTTTTAATAAAAAAAAAATTGATTGTCTTTATGGTTATTAGTCACTTGTATTTATGAGGAATAATGACCAATTAGACTATTTCTAGTTTTTATTTAAATGAATAAAAACAATTCGTAAAATATATAATATTTATAAACTTTACACTGGGTGGTACAATTATAATAAGATACATAGAAGTAAAAATAATTATATCTACAAAGTTACAAGGTGACAACAATTATTTTTGGTACACGCTATGAAACAAAATTTCTTGCGGGTGTTGTGACAGACGAAACGTGTAGACAACATGAGGCTAACATATTTTTATCATAAATTGATCTCAAAAAATATATATACAACAATGTATCAATAATTGGTTATTTCTTTCCCTAACCATATAATTATATACTTTAGACAACATTTAAATTTGATGTTTAGACTAATGAGTTTTTTTTTTTTTAAAATATTTGGTAATTTAAATAAAATTTAATTAAACAATAACTTGAAATAATAGCATACATATATTGTATTCAATTTTCAACTTCTTAATTTATCAAGTACAAATAATTTTGAATTTATTGTAACTATGAAGTAGAAGTATTTTGTATAAAATATTTATAATTTATACATCACTTGTGTTTTAAAGTAGTATTTTGTTTTTATTAACTATTTAAATCAGATTAGACAAGACTAAACCATAATTTTGTTTATGAATAATGAGAAGTTATATTATCACATTTTTTAATGATTTTCAATTTCAAATACCAGATAAATTAGGTTGAATTTAAAATTAGATAAGGAGTCCTTTTATTTATAAGTAATTAATTATCATTAGATAAATTAAATTGTATAAAATGGAGTTTTAATTTAATTTATATTTCAGGGAAGAAAATGTAATATCTGTTTGGAACAATGGTCAAGGTATACCTGTTGTTGAACATAAAGACGAAAAAATGTATGTTCCTACAATGATTTTTGGACATCTTTTAACTAGTTCAAATTATAATGATGAAGAAGCAAAAGTAACTGGTGGTAGAAATGGATATGGTGCTAAGCTTTGTAATATATTCAGTAATAAATTTACTGTTGAGACAGCTAGCCGTGAATATCAGAAAGCATTTAAACAGGTACTTTTTAATTTGAATAAAAAATGTATATTTACAATTTTTTTTAAATGTAATTTTAAAATTTGTAGACTTGGGCAGATAACATGGCAAAATCTTCTAATCCAGCTGTAAAAGAAGTTAAAGCTAGTGATTATACCAAAGTAACATTTAGTCCTGATCTTACAAAATTCCATATGACCTGTCTTGATAAAGATATTGTTGATTTAATGTCACGACGTGCTTATGATATTGCAGCATCAACTCGTGGAGTAAAAGTTTACTTAAATAAAAAATTACTTCCTGTAAGTTACAATGATGAATACCTTTTTTAAAAGGTCTTAAAAGTTTGATCTTAATGGATTCTTTACAAATAATTTCAGATCAAAAGCTTTCAAGATTATGTAAATTTGTATATCAAAGGAAAAGAAGACGAAATAGGGAATCCTTTAAAAATAGTGTATGAAAATGCTGGACAACGATGGGAAGTTGCAGTTACTTTATCAGATTCTGGTTTTAAACAAGTGTCTTTTGTCAATAGTATTGCTACAACTAAAGTAATTTAAATTCAATTAATTTAAGAATTAAATTTTAACAAATTATCAAATTAAATAATTTATCTAGGGCGGTAGACATGTAGATTATGTCACGGATATGATTGTGAAACAATTAGTGGATATTGTAAAAAAACGTAACAAAGGCGGAATGGATTTGAAAAATCATCAAGTAAAAAATCATCTCTGGGTATTTGTAAACTGTTTAATTGTTAATCCTACATTTGATTCTCAAACAAAAGAGCATATGACTTTACAAGTAAAAGCTTTTGGATCAAAATGTACATTAAGTGAAAAATTTATTAACTCTGTAAGTTAAATTATGTAATTACCAATATTATATTAAAAGTTTTTGTGGTTAATTTATATTAATTTTAATAATTTTTAATATTTTTTTTTTCAGGTATCCAAATGTGGTATCGTAGAAGCAGTTTTAACTTGGGCTAAATTTAAAGCTCAAACTCAATTACAAAAGCAAAGTGGTAAAAAGCATAGTAAACTCAAAGGAGTACCAAAATTAGAAGATGCTAATGATGCGGGTACAAAAAATTCAGTAGATTGTACATTAATATTAACAGAAGGAGATTCAGCTAAATCTTTAGCAGTTTCTGGACTTGGTGTAGTTGGACGTGATAAATATGGAGTTTTCCCACTTAGAGGTAAATTGTTGAATGTCCGTGAAGCTTCTCATAAACAGGTAAGTTATAATTTCTGCTTAATTTTGAATTGAAATAATTATATCACATAATATTTAGATTATGGAAAATGCAGAAATAAATAATATTGTAAAAATTGTTGGGTTACAATACAAGAAGAAATATGAAACTATTGAAGATTTAAAGACTTTGAGATATGGTAGATTAATGATAATGACTGATCAAGATCAGGTGAAAATTTACAATTTTTTTTTTATACGCTGTTAAATCTACAAATAATTAACAAAAATATGTTGTTATTAATGATATTTAAATATATTTAAATATATAAATAATTATAGTTGATATATAGAAATATAAAAATAAATGTTTGAAAATTTATTATTATGTTCGTAAAGTATGGTTTTGAATTAATAATTAACCTTTTTTTTTTTTATTATTTGCTTGTATATAACCTGTTAATGAATTTTTAATTTGAAATTGCTTTTACTTAACAAAAATAATAATACCCCAGACTAAGCATATATCTATATATTAATTTACAAATTTTAACCTTTTACTAATTTTTGATGATATTTGATTGATTTTTAGGATGGGTCGCATATTAAAGGATTGATAATTAATTTTATTCATCATAACTGGCCATCTCTGTTAAAACTACCATTTTTAGAAGAGTTTATAACACCTATAGTGAAGGCTTCTAAAGGCAAAGAAGAAATCTCATTTTACTCATTACCAGAGTTTGAAGAATGGAAAGATGCCACAAGAACTTGGAATAAATATAAGATAAAGTACTACAAAGGTTTGGGTACCTCTACTTCAAAGGAGGCTAAAGAATACTTTCAAAATATGAAACGGCATAGAATATTATTTAAATATGAAGATAATAATGATGGTGAACATATTGAAATGGTGATTGTTGCTACATTTAAAATTATAATACATGTTTTTGTTATACCTTTCATTGTATGATAAAATAATACGATTCTAATATTTAAATGTTTAGGCTTTCAGCAAAAAGTGTGTAGATGCACGTAAAGAATGGTTAACTAATTGGATGATTGAAAGTAAGAGACGTAAGGAAGCTGGGTTAGCTGAAGATTATTTATATGAGAAGAATACCAAGTCTGTGACTTATAAAGATTTTGTAAATAAGGAATTAGTTTTGTTCAGCAACATGGACAATGAACGTTCTATAGCATCTGCCATTGATGGATTAAAACCTGGATCTCGAAAAGTAAGGTTTTAAATAATTACTAATTAATTTTATTATTCAATTTATTCATAATAATTTATTTGTATAGGTCTTGTTTACTTGTCTTAAAAGAAATGATAAACGTGAAATTAAAGTTGCACAATTGGCTGGTTCTGTTGCTGAACACTCTGCTTATCATCATGGTGAAATGTCTCTAATGTCTACCATTGTTAATTTAGCTCATAACTATGTAGGAAGTAACAACATCAATTTGTTGCAACCTATTGGTCAGTTTGGTACCAGACTTCAGGGTGGCAAAGATGCAGCTAGTGCCAGATATATTTTCACAATGCTAAGGTAATTTTGAATTTAAAATATATATGATCTAATTAATTTAATAACTTGAAACTACTATAGTCCATTGGCCCGATCTATTTTTCATCCTCACGATGATCCATTGTTAACATATCTTCGAGATGATAACCAAAAGATTGAACCGATTTGGTATATGCCTATTATTCCTATGGTTTTGGTTAATGGTGCAGAAGGTATTGGAACAGGATGGATGACCAAAATACCTAATCATAATCCTAGAGAAATTGTTGCAAACTTAAAACGTATGATGAGGGGTGAAGAAATATTGCCTATGGTAATATAAATAAAAATTTATCATTATGAGTTAAATTAAATTGTTCTTTATTTTTTACAATTTGCAGAAACCTTGGTTTAAAAATTTTATTGGACAAATTGAAAAAATTTCTGAACAAAAGTTTATTTCTAGTGGTGAAGTGGGAATAATAGGACATAATAAAGTAGAAATCACAGAACTTCCTGTTGGAGTTTGGACTCAAAATTATAAGGAAAGTGTGTTAGAAACTATGTTATCTGATACTGAAAAATCTCCTTCTGTGATTAGGTGTGTAGAAAAATGAGAAAAATATTGTTTAAATATATTAATATTTAAATTTATTTAATTGTATCTTATAGTGACTACAAGGAGTACAATACTGATACTACTGTCAAATTTGTTGTTTCTATGAATCCCCAAAAACTTCAAGAAGTAGAAAATGAGGGCATCCATAAGTTTTTCAAATTACATTCATCTCTTTCTTTGACTTCTATGGTAAATTTCTATTCATGATATTTTTACAATTAATAATTTATAATTGAATATCTTAATTTTTAGTGTGCATTTGACAAAGATTGTGTATTAAAAAAATATGAATCTACTAAGGAAATATTGCAAGACTTTTACACTGTTAGATTAGAATTTTATGGTAAACGTAAGGCATATTTAGAAGGAATATTAGGTGCTGAAGCAGCTAAATTGACTAATCAAGCTAGGTAAGTCTAAAATTTTTTGTATCAAAAAAGTTCTATTTGTAATAGCCGGCTTATTTTAATAATTAGAAATTAAATTTGTTTTAAAAGCTTATTAATTTTTGTTGTAATTCAAAATTTTAAAAAATGACATTTTTCTTATGATCTTAAAATTCTTATGTTTACTACAGTAAAACCTCGATAAGATGGAAATCCCGGTATTATAAAACATTATTTTGGTTCAGTTTCAAATTATATACCTATAATTAACTAACCCTGTCAAGACGGAAACCCTGTTAACACAGAAAAATGTCATGGTCCCAAGCAATTCTGTCTTATTGAGGTTTTACTGTATGAACTATTTTAAATTATTATAATTAAAACTGAAAATAACCAACATAACTTTTAAAACACATGAAAATAATGATTTAACTATACAGAAGAAATATATAATTTATATAAATATATATTGTTGAAAATTACCATTTAAAGGTAAGAGTTTGCTAGAGCTGCTAATTTTGTGCAAGAATAGGAAGACCAAGTGATTTTGGAGTTTTCTCTCGCATTCATGTAATTTCTTATAGACGCAAGCCAATTTATACAGTTTTATTGAGAAATTATTGTCATAACCGCAATCTAAAGATAACTAAATTTACCTGATAATTCATTATACATAAAGTGAATATAGAAGATTTTAAAATAACCATTTCAAATGATTATTATTTATTTGTTCATTGTAGTATCAAATATTGTTGTATTTAATATATACAAACAAAAGGTATTAATTTTTTTTTTTTTAAGAGTTTGAAATAATAAAAATTATTAGAGGTATATTAAAATTGAATTTATTAAAAATTAAATGAGCAATTAATACAAAAATACATAACTACTAATTTTGGAAGAAAAATATGATTTAGATCATATTTTTTGTTTATAGTAATAGACAATTTTATAAAAATAGTAAAATACACTTAACAATTTTTTGAAAAGTAAAAACTTTGGTCTGGGGTAAAATATTAAGGGATTTAGAATATTAATATAATTAAATAATTTAAATCCACTTCATAATACTGTATTCAAACTAATAAACTTGAATATTTTGAAAAATTCAGAACATAAAAATGTAATCAATTACTACTGAAAAACCAATAAAATGCTGTGCATTCTTTAAAATATCTATCAGATATTAATTGTATTAAAGATATGAGAGTAAAAGTCAAAAACTGTTTATCATCTTACCTTGAGTAATATATTCATTTTCTGTGTTTAGAATTTGTCATAGTATTAAGTTTTGTAAATTTCAGCAAAAAATTTTGATGTTGATTTATATTTATCTCAAAATTCCTTACTAACTTAATATTTAGAATAGAACTAAGTTTTTACTTTTTAAAACTTTTTTTGGGGATTTCAAAACATTTGAATTATTTCGTAGTTTGTTCCTTATACATTTATTTTGGATGAATGTAATATGTTTTTTTAAATTCTAATACATTTTATAAAGCCTTTAATAAATCGAGTAAATATCAGCTTATTTGTAAGGTATTACACAAATTATTATTTTATGTTAGTGATATCAATAATATGTGGTGCAGTTGGCCAACAGAAATAAGTTGACTAACCTAACCTTGTAACTTAGTTCTTTTCTAATAACTTATTGCAATTGTCTTATGTATTTAAAAAGATCACCTAATTAAAGAAATTAATTTTATTATTTTATAATCCGAGTATATTTGTTGACAATTTATTTTTATTAAAATATACTTCTAATTAATATGTGGAATAACTAATATTTCATTTTATTTGTTTTTCTATCATAAAATTTTGCTGTAATAATAAATTGCCTAAATGTATTTTGTCAATATATCATTATTTTATTTTACTAATAATGTTATGATTTATATTTTTATTTTATTTAAGATTTATTGTTGAGAAATGTGATGGAAACTTAAGAATTGAGAATCGTAAGAAAACTGAAATGATTAAAGAATTGGTTAGACTAGGTTATAACAGTGATCCTGTTAAGGCTTGGAAGTTAATTCAAGATAGGGAATCTGTAATGGTAATTAATACATTTTATTATTAAATATGCTAAAAAAACAAATCGTTCATTTTCATTTATTTGTTATATTTTTATTGTGTTTTAGTTAGATGAAGCTCAGGAAAGAGTTGCTGAAGATACTGAAGAAGATGAAACAGCTCCATCAACTAGTGCTTCATCCAAAGATGATGAAAATATGGACTTTGATTATTTGCTTGGTATGTCATTCTGGCATTTAACTTTGGAAAAAAAGAATGAGTTATTAAGAAAAAAAGAAGAAAAATGTACAGAACTAGATATTTTGAAGAAGAAAACTCCAATTGATATTTGGAATGAAGATTTAGATGAATTTTTGATTAAAGTAATTAAAAATAGTTTTATCTTGATACTCTAAATTCTTCCTGTATTGTATGAATTTATTATTATTATTAATTGTAATTTTAATGTTTTCTCATGCTAATTTTTTATTTTTAGTTGGAAGAGGTTGAAGAAAAGGAGAGATTAGATGAATTAGGTGATGAAGGAGGAAAAACAAAAGGTGCTAAAAGTGGTAAGCTAGCTATAAGTAACAAGAAAAAAATAAATCTAGTTTCTGATTCTTTGCCATCACCTGCTGCAAGACGTATCATTCCTAAAATTGATGCTGAAATGGTTAAAAAAGAAGAGAAATTAATAGCTGCTAAAGGAAAACGTATCGAGAGAAAGGTATACTTTATAATAAAAGTTAATTATTGGCTGAATTTACCATTTCATTTACTTAAACAATTTTAAATCTTTTCTTTAGAAAAAAGGTGATGGTGATGCTGAAGGAGGTGAAGATGAAGTAAAAAAAGAAAAGAAAGCGGCTACTAAAAAAAAAGATGCTTTAAAACAAACCAAATTAAATTTTGATAAAATAGATGATGGTATTAAATTTGAAAATGATTTTGATGATATTAAAGTATTAGATTCACCTCCTCCACCCCCGAGAACAGTTTCAAAACGACAAGCTGGTATTTGTTTATAAAATATTTATATTTATATTCATGGTTAATATTTTTTTGGTACTACTTTTGATCTAGCTGCAAATATATCGTTTAAATTTGAAAGTGGTGATGAAGACGATCCAGGAAATATATCTGACCAAAGTGATGCTTTTAAAATTTCAACGCCCAAAATATATTCAGATGAGTAAGTTTTATCATTTATAAATAAGTATATCTATATTCTTAAATTGTCAAATCATTTTTCATAATTTCTGTTATATTCAATTCCTAATGTTTATTTTACTAATATTGTAAATGTGTTTAAACCTTTTAAAATACTCACGTTTTTTAATAGTGTAATTTGAACTTTACCTAGTGGAGGGAATATACATTATGCATATACTATTTGTTTGGCAATCCAATTTTTAATTATTATTTTCATTTAATTTTACGTACCAAGGTTATGTAGTGCTGGAATATTTATATTTATAGCCTAAAGATAATATTCTTATACCAATTTATAAATGTTATCAATTTTAGCTATTGTTTTAGTAATGAATAAAAAAGGCTCTGGTGTGGATTTAACCTTTCCTGTTGCACTACTGTTTTTGATGTAACACATAATTTGCCACAGGTGTAAGGCCGGCTGTAGTGCCATCACGCTCCCCACCTATTGGTGAACGCTGTGTATATTATTTGGTCGCGCTTCCCTCTTTCTGCTCCGTCACCAGATCAACACGTGTATACACGTATGTGTATATCAGTGAGCGCTAAGTGTACTCTGCGCATGTAATTGTATACTATAATATATATATATAACTAGCTGACCCAACGAACGTTGTTTTGTCATATAAACTATTTTGAAATATTTTGCTAGAAAAAAATAACTAATTTAATATAGGCATGTAAGGATGTGGATAAGGATAAGAATGTAAGGAAGAGGTATGGAGTACTGTGAATGGTGACGAAATATAAAATGAAAAAACATCAAACATTTATTTTTTTAATAATTTATTAAAATTGATCCATTAAAATTCTATATTTTGTTAATTATGACAATATTAGTAAAAAATAATATCTATCCCTTCATGCAACAGTGTGTACAATATTTTTTGCTATCCCATCTTTTGCCAACACAAATTGGATAGTTCGAGAGCATGTCACGTATAATTGTCTGTGTGAAAAATATGATGTGCTCAAATCTAAGCCACAGACAGACATTGTTTGGCCTTGAGACTTATTGATAGTCAATGCAAATGCCAATCTAATTGAAAATTGAATGCGTTTAAATTGTATTGGCACATGTGGGTATAATAAGGATTCGCGGTAATTTTCACCTCTGAATTTGCCATTTAAAATGATGGCTTCGATAACATTTTTCATTGATTTTTTAACGACTTATCGCATGCCGTTGTACAACCGTGGTGGGTCAAATTACAAAGCAAAATAACCGGAGATCAAACCTTCAATTGTATTTTATGCGGTGGCATGCCTAGCAAATCCAATGAGTTTAAAAACTCTGTTGGATAATTTACAGCTTCAGTAGTATCGCAAACTATCAAAAGATTTGTATAACACCAAGTCTCCTGGTAACAAATTTTGTATCTTGAGATTCAATTTGTTGATGTCCACATTTTTTGCTACTAAAATTGCTCTTTCTGCCAACCATTCATGATTTGTGTATTGTCTGTGTATATTGGGAAATATCTGGTCAATGAGAGCATCTTGCGAATAAATAATTGTGCAGAAATCGGTCGGTAATTTTATACATCCCATTTCATTTGTAGTAACTTTCCCATCTCCAATATCTAACAATTGTTTTGAGAATCTTCCGCATGCAGCTTTTTTTGATTGAATCACAAGTATTGAAATTATTCGCTCCCTATCTTTACATACATTTTGGCCATGAATTGTTGACAAAGCTCGTGACATCGTAGAATAACTTTGTCCTGATCGCGTCTAATCATCAGCCGATATGCATAATAATTCTTCGAACTAACATTCTTGTTTGTTTTAGCACCTGTTGCGGAATCTTATTGTTTAATATTTATGCAATACTCGTCATTTAATACCAAAAATAAAATTAATAGTTTTTAAATAGTCTTTAATAGTTTTATTTAATAATTAATTTGCGCAGTTATCGATTGGGTCAAAAATTATTAAATTAAACTATGATTTATTTAACAATAGCACTTTTCCAACATTTTTTTTGTAAAAACCTTCTAGCAATTAAAAAAAAATTGAGCCAAATCAGCCCAGCTGTACTCAATTCATGAAATGTTATACATTTTTGTATGTATTTATTTGAATGTGTTACTTATTATTAATATATATATATATACATATACATATTTATTTATTATTCTTATAAATAGCTATAAAAAAATTTCTTGTGGTTGGATTTTTAAATATTTGAATGTAATTTAAGAAAAATACTTCTGAAATTTTGTTACAATTTCAAATAAAAAAAAAGTAAATAAAAATGAACACTTTTATTTTATTAATGAAATTCTTTGAAAATCTCTCTATATCCATTTCTCTTAAAGCGCATCATATCTCTCTCTACACTCACATGTACATAAGCAGTATTCGATTGAATATTTCAGTATATAAGTTACATAAACTAATGTTATTATTATTAATATACTTACATATCAATTTATGTTAGAGTACACAAACGCCACAGGAGATAGTATAAATATATATATATTTATTATTTTTAATACTATTTTCCAAATTTAGGGTAGACAATAACTTTGTGCTGCTCAATCGACATTGATGTTTCACATCTTCTGCCCGTCCTGTGACAGGCTCATTTTTTTTTTTTTTTTTTTTTTATTTAGTCAATGTGTTAATATTTGTTTAAATTAGTACTTATTTTATGAATAATATTTGGAAGTTAATTAAATGTTTACAATAGCTGATCATTAATTTAATGATTTGTATTAAGTTAAACTGTATTAACACTAAATTACTTATACACTTTTTAGATCTTTATCTGATGATGAGTTTTTACCCAAAAAGAAAAAAGAGTCTCCAAAGAAGGCTGCTAAAAAGGAACCTGCTACTAAAAGAGCACCAGCTGCTAAAAAGATACCAGTTAAAAAAAACAATGGTACATCTGAAAACATTTTACCATCAGATGCTGAACCTCCAAAATCACTTCCTACTAAAAGAACAGCTGCTAAAAAGAAGCCCATAGTAGAATTGAGTGATGATGATGAATTAATATCTGAATCCAAACCAGAAAAAAAACCTAGAGCTGCTGTTCCAAAATCTAAACGTAAATTAAGCTCATCAGATTCAGATGATGTATTCAAATCTTCGTCCACTAATAGTATGTTGTTTACTTATACATATATATATATATATATATATATATATATATATATTTTATTGTTGTTTATTTTTTTCATTTTAGGTAAACCTCAAAAATCATTTGATGATTTATTTGGAGAAACTAATTCGAAAAAACTTGTGATGTCTGATGATGATGATGACTACAATATGTCTGCTGATTCAGATGAATCTTTTGTTCCTAAATCAAGTATATTAATTTATTTTGACCTATACTGTTTGTTTTCTTTAATTACAATTATTACAATACTACTAGGTTTGAGTGATAATTTAATCCCCAGTATTGTTCTAAAACAAACTAAAATATTATTTAATATTAAATAATTTGATGAAATACACATCAATACAAATATACTAATCATATTCTCTGCTTAGTTTTTTTTTTAATTAGAGATTAACCATAAAAAACTATTATTACTCAGAATAAAATTACAAATTTATATTATCAGATGGATTTATAGAATCGTTGTGATATGCAATTTTATTTTTTATAATTTTATTTAATTTAACATATTTATAATATTAACTTCATTATTTAAGATTAATAATCATTTTTGAAAAAATTAGCTATTCTAAAACTATTAATTCAATGATGGGTATAAATTGTATACCATATTATAAAGTTTTAACCATATTTTTAGTGTTTTTACTATAAACGCTAAAAGTATGTTATTTATTCATGTTAACAATTATTCTTTTTTTGGTTTTTTTTTATAAAAATAATCCCATCACTTGTATTAAAAAATTTTTAATTGCCACTAATAATCATCTGAAATAAATAATTTAAATAGATAAGTTCATCATATAAAATAAAGTAATTAATCATCTGTAATTAATTTAATTTCATTCTTTTTTATTCACTTTTCATAATTTTTTGAAAATTATGAACATATTTTTCTGATTTTACTTATAATAAATTCATAGTATATTTTTGTACGTAAAAGTAATATTTATACGCAATACTGACAGCAATGCAAGCAATATGAGTATAAATAATAAAGTTGAATAAGAAAATCCGACTTTTATAACACTCATAATTTCATTTAAGGAATAAGTAACATCCAAACATAAAATTAATATATTATAATTTCTTAAAATATTTATTTTTCTGCGTGAAATAAAATTCTAATAACTTAATTTGAACACAATGTCGTTATATACAAATAATTTACTAAATTAATATTTGTATTGTTGCAATTTTAAGACCTAGTTAACTATGCTATTACAATTTTTAGAATATTATATGAAAATTTGTGGCTTGAATTTAATAGCTAAACATATAAATATACTATACAGTGTATAATATTCAAAATCTAGGTCATAAAGTTGTGATTTTATAAACTTAAGAATAATTTTAATTATTTATGATCATAATGTGATCAACATAATTCAAACGCATATTAAGCTCAATGAACTATGTGAAATTAACTTAAGAAATTAATGTTAATGCTTTTTATTTGTGAAACTTATTCTCAATACTCCAAAAGCAATAATTAAACAGATTAAACTTTATCGTAGTCTAATAGATTTAGGTTATTCTAGTATATTTTTAGTATCAATTTGAAGGGTCGTATTAAACTAAAATTTGTGTCCACATTTAACTGTTGTTCTTTAATTATTTGTTTATCAATATCAGTGAAACTATGAATTATCATTCACATGATAGTAATCATCATAACAAGATATAAATATTAAACAATTTAATTTATTTTATTTTTTTGTTTCTTTCACATATTCTTTAGTTTGTAAGTTATATAGATTACTCTTACTTATAGTTTTCCAATTCTTTTATTGAATTTACTAAATCTGTATTCTCTTTTTGGATTATCTGAATTTGTGTAATTAAATCATAATGTTTAGATTTCAATATTTTCAACTCATCCTTCTCATGTATTATTTGTGTCATATGAGTACGAATGTAATCCAAAGGATTTATTGACTTTATTTCTAGTTCATAGAGATTTATTAATACTTTGGTTAAAGCTTCAAAAAGACCTGATTTATATAAATATTTTTTAAAATCTTCATGTTTATCGATAGCCTCTTTTGTAGCCATTTTAAACAAATTAATTGACAATTTGCTAGTATAAATATTAATATTTACTACTATTTCCATGGATTTTATTGTATACAGATAACCTATTTGTTACTATTGTAATTATTTAACTTTGTTTATTTTTATTAGAAATGAAGAAAAAGGTATCACCTAAACAATCTTCTAGAAAACCACCAGCAAAGAAGATTAAAGCAAAATCACCTTTTGAATCGGGTTCAGATTAGAACTAATGTATCTAAATAATTCATAATCTTTTAATATTATATAGTTATGTTCTTTTTTTTTTATAACCTTCATACATTTATTTCTCTGATAAGATATAAAACTTTTGAATTACGTTGTTTACGCTCAGTATATACTATTACTGTTTATTGCATTTTAAGGAACATTTGATTAATTTTAAAAACCTATGTATAAGTTCTACAATTATATGTATATTTTTATTATTTGAGAGAGAGAATTACTTAATTTTAATAAAATGTACTTTTTGTGAAGTTTTCTTTAGGCAGATGTACTTCTGGTAAGTTATTGGCATATTTTTAATTATATTGTTTTCAGACTTGCAACAATTCTTGTAGTATTAAATTAATATTTAGGTGCGATCAATGTATATTTATAAACATTATATTGTAGAACAATGAACAACACATCATTTTTTTTATACGTTTATTTTTACTTTTAATAAAATATTTACACATGTGTATCAATGAATTATGGTTTATTATTGTAGCATTTATGAATATTAAGAAAACAGGTTAAAAAGTACTGACATTATTCCAGGAATTAAGTTTAACCCGTCAAACTGTAATCAATGTTAAGGATTGTTGGTGTTATATATTGTAATAATTACACTACTAAAACATAGGAGTGCATTATTACTGTTAACAATTAATTTCGATCACAATTTTTCTTCAAAATTTTATTATTCGTAAATCACGAATCAATATATTTTTACTGTGATCTATTTGCATGCTAAGAAAATAATGTACAGCGACTTAATTTCAACGATTTGCTTGAACGATTCATAACATGCTTGTTTTAATGTTAATCATTATCATTATTCAAGTAATGTACAATATTTTTTTTTAAAGAAAAAAGAAAAAAAACCGCAAAACTTACATTTTTTTCAAACATTAAAAACGCAATCGTATCTCTACCGCATGTGAACCTCACTGTTTGGTTAATTCGCTGACCATCAAAAGGTCGACGACGCGCAACGCAGTATTTACACGACAAATTACAAGATAGGTATACAATAATAATAATTGTTATAATATGTACATCGGTCAACGTGAAAGATGCCGTCAGTATCTGTGGCCGTGCGTGTGCCGTCAGTATCTGTGGCCGTGCGTGTGCCGGTCGGATTGTTTGCCGATTGAAAACCGATCGCTGTACTCGTCGTGGTCCGAGTGATGAGGGTGATGGTGCATAGACCGCGGCGGATGTTTCTCCGTCTTGTAGTGTATTTCAGGGGCGGCACCGAAGCTCTTCTGCCAATGACGCGTCCAATAATGGTTCTGCATCGCCACCTCTTTGGGAGTCTTGGCATCCCTGCACACAGTCACGCAGTAGATCAAACTGCCCATGAGTGTCAGGAACCCGAATATGAGGAATACGACGCCCAGCACCCTGAAACGGAACGAGGTTTTTAGGTTTAAAGGTTTTTCTCCCCACACCAACTCTCCCAATTTAACTCCTAATTAGCGATGGGCGTAAACGAGAGAATCTCGAAAAATCACTCGAGATTAAAATTATTTATTCATTTGATAAAAATAATCCTCTATTTTTACTAATCGAGATACCTTATCGAACGAATTACTTGAAATATGAACATACTCGTTGTAAACAAATAATCTAATTTTGCTTTTTTTCATTTGTCACTAATTAATAACATTAAATCACATTAAGTATTAATTATATTATTATAATTAAGAATAGTAATAACCATGCATTAATACTGCATAATTAATAAGTGTTTTAAATAAAAGAAAAGTATTTTCTTTTTTTATTAAAAATTAATGTCTATTTTTTATTTAGAATAACGCAGTATTAATGCATAAATCTTTTATTTATACTTTGTTCATATTTCATAACTAGTGAGCAAGCCTGTAGTTCAACCAATTTTTGCTGAAGTAAATGTATATTATATTTGAAATTGTAATGCATTATTCAATGGTTTATTTTCATATTTTTTATTTGGTGGGGAGGGGGATTTAAATTTTTTCTAAAAAATAAATAACTTTATAGTATAAAAAATTATATATAAGGTATGAATTAATAATTATATTACTATACAAATATTTTTATATAAACATTTCAACCAAATGATATAAATTAATGTTTTCTTTCTCTGTACTTTCGTAACAAGTCGTCTATGAACTTTGAACTTTTTTTTCTTCTGTGTGGGGGGGGGGGGGGGGTTCAAGAACCGTGAACCTTCGATTACGCTACTAATGTTAAGTCTGTGCGTGTACTATTTTTCATAAGCAAAAAATATACCAATTCAATTATTCGGTTAGTAATTGAAAGTGGATAATTCAAAATGTTTACTACTATTTCGAGATCTAGTGAATAACAGATGAATTATTTTTATCGCAATCGAAATATTTGGATTGTTGACACATAATCGATACGTCTCGATTGTACCCATCACCGGTACTCATAATATGCAACGTCTGCGCTATCGGTGCGCGACTGCCGGTCACTCACCAGACAAACATAGGCTCGAAGAACTGAATGACTATGACGAAGCCCAACGTGACCAGTATTAATCCCAGGTTGAGCAGCAGCATCAGGCAACACATTCCCTTGGTGTTCGGGCAAAACGGATTGGGTGCTGACATGGTCTCGATGGTGACGCCCGGCTTGCGCGTGATCTTGGACTTGACCGCGGTCACGTCGGACGGGGCGAGACCATTGCTGCGGTACGAGTAGTGGCTGGGCGCTGGTCCTCTGCTCCGGTTACTCCTGCTCGTGTAGTGGGACCCGCGGCTGCAAAACGATGATCCGTTTTAGTGACCGCCAGGATTACGGTTTTTGGTGAATTAGCACTTTCTTCTCTCTCTCTCTTTCTCCCCCTCCATACCTCATCCATGGGGTTTTGCTCTACCAATGGTGTCTCCAGGACCGGCGTTAGAAGTATTGGCGCCTTGGGCGAAACCATGTTTTGGCACCCTTGACCCCCCCCCCCTCCAACCCACTTAGTTTGAGTAGTAGTAAAATAAAGTTTTTTAGTGAATTTAAATAAAATTAGTACATATTTAGTATAATAACTTGGTATTATATCAACGCATTTTTGGACAGGTTTTTGTTTTTTCGTTGCATGAATATAATAGTTTTAATTTTGAGCTTGGCGTTTTTTACTTTTTCATTTGTTTTGTCGGGGAATATATTATTTCACGCCACCACTGCCTACAATATAGGAATACTGTGTTTCACTAAAAACTCATTTATTAAGACCAGAGAACAGAGTTCATTGTAAGTAACTAATAAGGAACCAAAATATTATGTAAAAATTAACTAAACAAAAAATATGAATATTGATTACCTGCAGTGTTCGACTTGGCAAAATTAAAGAAGAGGGACTCTATTTACTTTAAAAAAAATGAACGTCCCCCAAAACTGGCTGAGCGTTATGATTATAGCGTAATAATAGTAGGGGGACGCTAAAATTTCTGAAAATTAGTTGGGGTACTCTATCCTCTGCGTCCCTCCTCAAGTCGAGCACTGATTACCTGTTAACTGTGACTTGTTAATTTGAACATTTGACATTACACAGCAGATTGTACGTAGCGAGCGCTCATCGAAAACAATAAATTGTGCGTGTATGTCGGGCAACTGTGTCTTTTTGATTTACGCCACACACCGCGGTATTTTCGCCGTAAGGTCCAAATGGTTTTACCACCGCGTTTTTTTTACGTAATCGTCTAGTTATATAAATTTATTTGTAAACGGGTAAATATTTTATGAAAATAAATATTACGACTATCTATTAATTTACACAGACAAATGCGGTAGTATGTTTCTATGCATTATTTTTACATCAAAATCAGCGCTGTATGGACGCAGTACCTATATGAAGTAGAAAGCACAACTGTTATATTCTTACTTCCTGTAGATCGTTAATGCGTATTAAAAGATAAAGTAGATGAAAACAATTTTCAGTTTGACACCCCTTTCGTGCTGGTGCCCCGGGCAATCGCCCAAATCGCCCATAGCTTTCACCGGCCCTGGGTGTCTCAAAAGTAATGCATAGCGCGTCGTTTCGTCCATCTCATGCAACACGACAATATGATCAGCCGGTCTACAGTGCTTTTGGAGAAATACAGATAGGAATATAACCTCAAACACCTACCGTGTTCGACGGATTTAAGCCCCCCGGACTTTGATTTATTCCCGAAAATGAAGGGATCACTTGGAGGAGTCCGTTTTCCCGTTATCAATGTTCTAAACGAAGAACTGTGCTGAAGGGTTCAACGAAGATGGTGTTCTACGCGACATTTAAAAGCTCCCGAAACGGTAAAGGAGGGTGATATTATCGAAAGGCTGTAATATTGTATTTTTATTACAATTTTATTATTATTTTTATTTATACTTGTATTTATCCAAAGCGAATTGTGCATTACTTTTTTAATGATCGCCAGGACTAGTTGGATTCAACGCATACACATCCCCCCCTTGCTACTCCGTACAATAAATATAACGGTTTCGTTTCGTTTTACTCGTATATGTTTTCCAAATTGGTGTGTTGTTTCGATCTTCGAAATGTCGGGATGGTTGACGATCTACCCCTCGGACGACGAACGTATAGATCGGTGATACGAGTCTCCGTTTTCGACCGCGGGTGTGTGCTTCCAGCGTTCGATCGACTTTTACCAAATCACCGTTACAGAGTTCCAGCCTCACGTATCGAATTCGTTCCGGTTGAAAAAATGGTGTTTTATAAAGTTGAGCTGAATCGATTCCCGTTTGAATTCGCGTTGTAGCCCATTCATTGTAACTTCTTCACGCAAGCAAGCTTCTCTCGATTTCACGTACGCGTGAACGCATTACGTTATGTCGAACTCACAATTGTCAATAACCAACAGCTATTTTTCCTTTTTCACAAAATGTAAACTCCAAAATTATTCCACGCTTAACTTTACAAAATACATTTTTTAAATGAGAATCAAATCGGCTACTTCCGTTCGATCAATACGCTACGCTCGTAGATCACTTCGTAGATCCTGTTCAAAGGAAAAACGGCATTCTAGTATGTCGAACGTTGCATTTCTTTGTTAGGACGCGGAACCATTACTCTTTCCTCGGTGCAGTTTTACATTTTTGTACTGCTCATATCGTTGGATCCCAATATTATTCCAAGCCCCTCCCACTCAGTTTTAACAAAGATGATGACCATTTTTTTTGTATCAAAAATTAATTTTTTTTATTATTTTTTATCTAATAGAAATTGCAAATTCGCACATTTCGTAATTAGATCAACGTTTCGCCCTTCACCTACATAGTACCTACCTCTTTAGCGAGAAATACTCATATCTCCCCTATTGAGGCTAACACTGTCCCATATATATTGTGATAACACAGTGTTGTCGCTCACCTCATCTCGGACGGTGGCCTGTACGCGGCGCTGGTCACGTAAACATCCGAATCGTGATGACTAGCCGCCGACCTGGCCCGGGAACTACTAGACGGTCTTTCCAGGCTCCGCGACCTCTTGGACCTGGGCGTCCGTTGACCGCGGGATGATGGCCGGTCCGTGGCGATCGTGTACTCGGACAGGGTTCTCTGACTGTCTTCGCCTTTAAGCATTACATACGGGTATCAAAGGTGGTACAATTATTGCCAGGGGGGTATTTAGGTAAGGTGATTTGGGTGTTAGAACATCCCCCCATCGACCGTATTTTATGGTATTTCACCAAATTGCAAACTTACAGTATAATTTGAATAAACGTTATATACAACTTTTACATTTTACATATACAATCTTAATGATATAATTTTCATTAATATAATAATTCATATAAATACATGGTATTTATTTATGTAATACGGTGGTGGGGCAGAGCTCCCCAATTACCATAAGTTGATTAAATTTTAAAATACCCCGGTTAAATGAATCGTGGATACTCCACTGATTATTGCATTATAATTGTATGGACGTTTCTCCGTAAAAATGAGTCTATTTCAATACTGTTGTTTAATTATTGGGTTATTAAATTAAAGCAACGCGCTGATTTGCAGAGAGACGATTGACCAAAAACGGAGGTGAGCGTAAGAAAAAATTTCGGGGGGTTTGAAAAAAAAATAAAATGTTGATAAATTGCATCTCTCATGGGGAAACTTTGAATCAACCATTGAATTTATAGGTCAGGTTATTTTTTTATTACATGTATTTCGAGAGGGGGTCAAACCCCTAAACCCCCATGCGTCCGCGAACGACTGAAAACAATCGTTCGCCTTTTGCAAATTCGTATTTTCAGAACGAAACAAATATAGCTTGAGGTAGCGAGCTTAGTTAGCGTCCAAGGTTCAACTAGAATTCGCATTATTCATGCGTGGTACACTAAGCGTTCAACGATGCGAAGTTGTCGTTAAATGAGAAGTTACGTGGAAAATCATTAATGGCATCATGTAGAGAGGAAGACGATTTCTCGCGATAATCCGTGTTTCAACGACATGAGTTTAACAATAGATCTTACCATCGGTGGAATAGCCCCTGTGCACGTACGGCAGCGTCTCCGAAGATCTGTGATGGTGTTTGCTCCCGCCGGGCGTGGCCACGTAATGATGTTTGCTGATGCGCTTGGCCATTATGCCAAGTTAAAAGGACCCGCCAAACAGCGCTCAGCACGACCTGTAACATAACCAACAGATTCGCGTGAAAATTTAGAATATGAATACAGAGCACAACACGATAATGTTGCGGTGAGCGAGATCGCTTAACAATATTGTCGTTGTATGCGTACATCATGATGTAAACGCATCAAGATATCGCATCATTCATATACGTACATGTATAACGTTTAAATCTAAACGAGCAGTGGAATGGAATGAAAACCAGTCAATCCTGAGAGTGCCGTTATTGCAGGAAGACCCAAAGTCTGCCCTTTTGGAAAAAATTGTTTTCCATATTAAAATATGTTCGATTACGATCATTTCACAATTTAAAAACCGTGTTAATTAATTGGGTACATGTTAAATGATATCAAATACATTTTACCACCGTTTATTTTGTGGAGTTCTCACACAAATCAATATATCACACCACGTTTCTTTAATACTGACGACTGGGGTGTGTAAAACGCGAAACTAGATCAAAAACGATGTTACACATCGAGACTCGTATGAAAAATTCGCAGTAAACAACATACGAGTATAAGTTTTGACATTTTTCGAGTTGTTCTCAAGAAGATTGGATAAAAATCGAGTTTTGAAGATCGAAAAAAAAAATTTCAAAAGTATCTTCTCATTAGGACCATGCTAGCAAGTACGCTTACACTCTATTGACGCTGGAAAATCTCTGAACAACAGTGCCGTGTACACACGCTGTGCCTGTGTGTATTTATTTTGCGATTATTTCATACAAAGAACCCAATTTTAATTGAATTCAAATACTCCCTTGTATTTTGCTGCGCCCTTGGCGATCGCCCATTTCGTCAAACTCTGGTCACGGCAGCTTTGTAGGGCATCGTGGACGCGAAATAACCGTTTCCATTCAATTATTACACCGACGAAATAATTGGTATATTTTGCAGATTCTGTCATCAACAACGAACTGTTCACGTGCGTAAATATTCTCAGTACAACGAAGAAATGTTAATGCGCGCGAAGGAAAATACATAGCTTACAACCGCGGTTACCGTTATTATATGCGGTCGTCGCGTTTCGTTTTCGCTTGTTGCAATTTTTTATTACCATCTCCGTTTACCACAATTATATTCTTGCGTTTAGCATATTTTGAAGAATCCGCACTGCACTGTAGACGCTCGAGGACGCGCAATGGACCATAAACGTTTCTTGTACACACGTATAGTGTAGTTGTCAGCAATAATAATAACAATGTATTCATCTATCGCACTGCAGCGCCACGCAACAAAAGTAGTTTGATGAATTTCGGTTGGTGGTTGTTCAGCAATAAGTAGTACCACTTCCTCGTTCCCTTTACCTTCGTCATCTCGTTATGTTAAAAAAAAAAAAAAAACGATGGCATTATTATGTCTACGTACTCATATACGTTTTATCTGATACGGGGAATATTTTTCATAATTACTCGGTCTTCGCGCTTATTGATTGTTTATCAGCTGTGCCGTATAAGTGCAAGTGACAGTCTATTGAAAACGGCACTTACCCCTCAATTTTTGGTGTTCCAACGAACCGTATATTACGCAATGTCGAGTGACAACTATGCCTCGCGTTTACGTAAACGGTTTTTTTTACATCATGAACCAAATGGTCGTAAATTGGCTACTGCGATTGCATTTTTTTTTTTATTATACGATTATATACTAATATAATATTACCTTAAAGCCTATGTGATGGCAATAATTTCCGATACTACACACCACGAGGACTTTAACACGATTGCTTATAAACAATGAGGAATGCCAGTTGGACGCACCTAATAACTACCTACAGCTAAACAAATAATAAAAAAAAGAAAAATACTCGAACGTTTATGATCAAAATTTGGAAACCTGGGGATGCCTACAACGAGGTGATCGGAACGGAACAACTGACCGATAGTGAGGCTCTGAAAGAGTAAAAAATCAACTTCGCTGACAATGTTACATATCTATATAATTGCAATTGTCATTTACGATAAGGAATAATCAGATGGAAATTTTTTACCATTGAGAAAAGCAACAAATAACAACAATCAGGTACGTGCGTGTACGAGAGTGTACGGAACGGCAATTAAAGAAAATAAATCGAATATATTTTCATTGTATCCTATTGAAAGGTGAAGAGATACTGCACTGAACGAGACGCGTTACAGTTTAATTATTACAGTTCATGGTAATTATCATACTTATTAGATATAATTTTGTATAAATGTAATAAAATCGACTATTATTAAATGTTGATCGTTTATGGTTTTATATTAGAGGCGATCAACATGAATATATTCATATAGATAAATACAATAATATCAAGAGCTGAAATGTTTATAAAAACATTTTATACAGGGGTGGACCGACAGAACGGGTAGATGGCCATACCCATCCAGGCCTTCCAGAAATGTTATGTTTGGGCCTCAACCTAAAATTGCTCATGTGGCACGAGTCGTTTGTTTGTTAGTTTTAGAGTTTCAGTCCTCAGTCAATTTTATAATTAATTAATTTTTTCTATTTTCTCTCGCGCACAAACGCAAAAACCGCAGCTGACGCGCCCTGGCGCGCATAACCGTAGATATTTCACGTCATAATATTATTGTTCTTCATGTCATTTACCGTTCTTTTTTTCTCTCTCTCTCTCTCTCTATTATCTATTACACTTTTGACTTATTCAGTTCACGTTGTCAATAATAACGTCCGTATATCGCACTGACTGTTCAATCAGCCATTGTTTAAAAACAGCATTTCGATTTCATCTCGGGTCGATCGTGCGCGTGCGCAGGACGCTCGCTTTGACACATTCATAACTGTCTTCGCGCGCACCGATCGGTTTTTGCGGTAAAAACGTGTACGAGGTACCGCTCGTACTCGCAGTGCTATAGCGGTTTGTCATTTTTTTCGGTTTCGTTTAATTTACAAATCGTTTATAAATAATTTACGTAAGAATTCTTAACTGTTTTCGGATACACACGGTTTTTTTTTAAAATTATTTTCGAAGCGTTTCCGTTTTTTTTTTTCGAAAGCATACCGTTCGGTAGTATACAACAGTTCAGAGGTTCAAGACTTGAATACCACTTGGACTTTCGGTATTTTTTCCTCTTCTTTTTTTAAATTTTTTTTTTGTTTTGTCGAAAAACACTTCTGGTCGGCTCGCTGCTGCCAAGGTGTAGCGACAACGTGAATATTCTTCCTATCGTCTATTATTTTCGTACGAATAGGGTCATACGGAAATTCCAGTCCGACGAAGATCATCACTTTAATACCATGTAATGTTGGCGGGAAAAAAAAAACCAATAAAGATAAATCATAAAATATTAATCCGCGGCGGACCGAAACACGTTGACCGAAAAACTTAGATATTATACATAACAACCAATATCGTTGACGACTCAACGGGTCATCGTGTCAGTTTGTAAAATGTATATTATTCCATCACAAATTTAATCCAAACAACTTCGGCATGTAATTCGATATTTTATTTTATGTTCACTTAAAACATTTTACTTTTTCGATATTATTTTCGTATTCGCCGAAAACGATCTATATTAACGGCTAACTTTAAATCTACGCTACAGGTTTTTTCCATTATAGTTTTCTAATAACAACCAATCGGTAATAGTTCTACGTCCGGACCGGAAAATAATAACCTTATGTGTATGGAATGTAATCTTGTGGAGTAACGCGCTACATCTCTTTACCAATTTTACGCGTATCAAGTCCGTGTGTTCGTGCGCTGTTACGTGATGAAAGCACGTAGTCCGCAACAGTCCCATAAAACCATATTAAAAAGTACGTATAATATGTTTACGTATAGTCGTTGGTCGTTCCCGTATAATACAATAATATGTCCATGCAATTAAGTATTAACTATCGTTTTCGTGCGTTATTTTTGTATTCTATTATATATTTTTTATTTTTCTATACGCCACGGAACTGTGTATAATGTGCTGTGTGATCCAGTCGTTCGAACACCCGACATTCCTGCTGCCTTCTTTTCGAAACCAGATACAATGATTGGTATGTTGTTGCGTGGTTTTACATTGTTGTGAAGCTCGCTCGATGATAATTGTGGACGAGAACTGTATATATCATTATTATTATTTACCGTATAGGCCTGCCGTTCTTGGGCGACCGTCCGTGTATTGGTATAGTATATATACACATAATACATTAAAAACGACATTTTGTTCGATAAGCTTGTATTTTTCGACATTATCACACGCAGTCATTATTCGATTAATCATAGCGCATTATTATTGTACAAAACTCGTTATAATTACCGGACGGATTTTGCGTCAGCGACCGAATCAAGTGTTGCATGTACTATTATTGTTATCGCGGCGTGTGTGTAGGCGTGTAGTTACATCTAATTTGCATTTCTGTTATATGTACAGCGCGCGTAAACGAATTAGTGGACAAGATGGTAACCGAACGCACATTATGCATTGTCTTATAAGCATTATGGCTTTATTTTATATTACTATAGATAGTATTTACAAAAAAAAAAAACAATGGAATTTCATTAAAAAAAAAAAGAAGATAAATTGACGTTTTCTTATTGTTTTCTCGTAAGCGGTTCGATTTTCGTTGACTTACTAGGTTATTATGATTAATGGTATTGCTCTCAACCGTTAAGGACGAAAAAATAATCTTCAACTTTAACGTACACCCATACACACACACACACACATACACACACACATACACCACGTAACATTAAAACATGATCATAACAAAATATATTTGAATCTCTAAACCTGTCTTCGGATACATCAACGAACGGTAAACGCGTGTTGTTTATTTATTAATCGGTTTGTGACCCACGATCGAAGCAGCGAGTTGAACTGTTCCTGTATACACACACGCTACGAGTTCATAAATCTTTGAACCTCAACCAAGTGCTCGTGCGGTTAGGTTACACGATAACCATAAGAACAATATCGTTATTGCGCGTACGCGTGCGCCGAGAACTAAATATGTATATTTATGTATACTATATGTATATTATGTTCTTCGCACT